AGTCGTCTAAAAACTCTAGAAAAACATCATTTATTAGATGTTGAAAAGCTATTGGTGCATTTGTAAGTCCAAAAGGTATGACATTGTATTCAAAATATCCATATCTATTTCAAAACGTAGTTTTCCATTCATCTTCTTTTTTAATACGTCCTAATTTGTATGCTCCCTATAGATCTATTTTTGTATAGATTTTTGCTTGATTCAACTGATCAAGAAGTCTGGATATCAAAGGTAGAAGATATCTATTCTTGATAGTGATCTTATTGAGTCCTCAATAATCAAAACACATCTGTAATGACCTATCTTTCTTCTTCACAAATAAGATTGGAGCTCTTACTAGTGATTTGAAATGGTGTATGAAATTCTTGGCCAAATTCTCTTCAATATATTTCTTGAGTTTAGCTAATTTATTTTGTGATAAATTATAGATTACTCCAAATGGCGGTTGTACTCTTTCTTGAAGGTCAATTGAGCAGTCATAGGGACAATGATCTGGAAGAGTATCCACTTTGTTCTTCTCAAATATATCTTGAAATTCTTGATATTGATTGAGAATGCCACTTGAAGTCTTTGCATCATTAGAAACAATTAAGGCGTAAATGACACAAGGTGATTCTTTTTTTGGAGCATGAAAGAAAGCTCTTGCACCTACAAACCTAGGTTTAATTGCATTAGACTTATGACTTTCTACTAGATTTATTTCACTCTTAATTATACTTTTAGAGAAGTCAAAGGTAGAAGAAATCCAATCTATGTAATTATTATATTTTTTTAACTAGGATAAACCTAAAATGATTGGATTAAAAAAAGATTTAATTATATTAAAGATTATGCAACTACTATGACTATTTATTGCTACATCTATAGGAAGTGTTTTATGAGTAACATCTCTAGAAGACAATGGACGACCATCTATGACTTCTACATGAATAGGTTTGATTTTTTGTACTAACAATATTTTATGACTTTTAACAAATTTTATGTCTAAAAAACAAGTTGAGGCTCCTGAATCTATTGAGGCATAGGATTTATAATTATTAGGTTCCAAATACATATCTATTATAAAACAAGAAGAGGGTTCTAAAAAAAGGATAGGACCTTGATTAGAAATTGTATAAGATTCCAGCGGCACAGTCTCTATTGTACTTGGACAAATTTGTTTATTGACACTTTATCTTCTTTGATAGATATGCTCTTCATTTTGTCATTTCATCACTTTTTTGGATAATCTTGAGCAGTGTATTTAGGTTCTCCACAATATAAGCATAATCCTTCTTGATGGTGACAAGACTTTTCTTGTTTGATAAGAGGTTTAAAATGTATTGCATCAATTTGCATATCTTCTACTTTTGAATGTATGTGTAGAAGAGATGTTGGTATTGCTATCGAATTATAGTAATGTTTTCATATTGTGGTTTGGCTACTATATGAAAATAATGTAATTATATACTTAATATATAATTTATTAAGTAACATGGTGAGAGCCATGTTAGTAGATTTTAGTTGGTTGTAGAATATAATTTGATTATTACCTTTAGAAGAGGTTGTTTAAAAAGATTACTATAGAATTTATATAACTTTAATTTCTTTTTTGATAGTGGCTTTTAAGATTGGTTTTGGTTGATAGTAACTTCTAAATATTTAGAGTCACCTTTGTTAGACGTTGGTGACCTTTGAAAACTTATTTTGGTTCTTTTATTTGATGTTTAGAGCATAAATTATATAAATCTTATAAAAAAAAGATTGAAGAAGGATTTTGGTAGCAAAAGAAGTAATTAGGGCACCAATATAGATGAATGGAGATGAATGATGAAAATCTCCATTCCTATTGTTCAAAAATCATGACCAATAGATTGTGAGGAGGCTGCTTGAGGCCATATTAGAAATTAGGGTTAGTTTTTTGAAGTGATTCGAGCTTTGAAGGCTAAGGTCAAAAAGTTTAGGTTTTTGGCTATGGTTTTGATACAAATCTTATATGATTTGGAGTTTATATGAAGGAGATATAGGCGCTCAAAGTTAAGGTATTATTTTGGGAGCTATTGTCACTCTTTTTGACATAACGCATGCATACAAACAGCAATTGAAGATCGGCAACCACGACTAAAGAGAGCACTTTTGCGGCTACACTTTTTGCATAATTCTTGCTGGATTCCAAGTTGGAATGAAGGCGTTATTTGATTTTGAAGTCAGGGCATGCAATCTAAGGGTAGTAAGTAACCTGATTAGTAGTGGTCGTGTCTTGAGCTATATCTTAAGAAATTTGATAAGGTTTTGGCTCAAAATTTAAAAAAATGTGTAATTTCATGTTAGTAAACTTTTTACATAAGTTTCATGATATTTGAATATTGGATTCTTGAGATATCAAGAAAATAGTGGTCAAGTTCTTGTACATTAGGATTTAGAGCATCTGCTAGAATTTCTTAGATATCACAAGATTGGAAAAGAATTTGCACTTGGTTTTTTTTGTGATAAAAATTAAAGGTGAATTCTACCTATTCTATAAATTTGAAAAAAATTGAATAGCTAAATCAAGAGTTATGAATTTCTAAAGTTTGGGACAAGAAAACCTTTTGGAGGAAAAATATGTTTTGAAGGTATTTTGTTATATTTTGAGTTTTATGCAAAATAAAAGAGTTTTTGAAGCTAAGACAAGATTCATATAAAGTTTTAAGCTAAATTCTCTACAGCTAGATACTTAGTGTATTTTTAGATAGAAAATCATGCCATACGACAATGTTGAGGATCATTTGTGTGACTCTCAGATCAAAATTCAAAAAGTTGATTGTCGCATTTTATGGCAAAGTCAATTGCTTGACTCAATGTTTGAGGATCAGGTAAGTTGAGCATCAGTTTTTTTACCTCATATTATAATCTATAGAGAAATTGGCTAATAAGTGCAATATCATCCCACTTGATATCAGTTGCAAGTTGTCAAAATTATGAAGCATATAATGTTAGAAATCGATTATCTTATTGTAAAATATGGATCTTGTTGGTTGTAACATAAATTACATCATGTTTTCCATATATGGATTAGAATTCTGTCAAAAATACCTCCAGATTATCCAATATTGAATCTCATCGTTCAAAAAAAGATGAAAACCATGATAGTGTTGAACCTAAAAGAAGTGTATCAATGAATCTAACTTGTGATCCTGAAATTGAATAGCTTTGAGGTTGAAGTTCAATCACAAGTTTTACTAAATTAATAAATTTCTAAAATTTGAATATTGTACTATGAAACTTCTTAAGCAAAACAAGTCTTAGTTCTCTATCACTTGAAGGATGTTCCACCATAGGTGGAAGAATATGATTTGGTGTAGATGTTGAAGCAGCTCTAATCATCTCTATATCCTCACTTCCTGCCATTTTTGTTGATCCTTGTGGTCATAAGCTAAGTTGATGCATCGTAAGCATCAATTTCTTCAATTACTCTTACATTTGTACCAATGCAGTCTTCATTTCAACAAGCTCTGCCATAATAAGACTTAGAAAAATATCTAATACTACTCAAGATAAGTACAAGAAAGGACTTGAGGACAAAGAAAATACTAAGAATAATATCAATTTAGAAGAGGATAATTTGTAACTTCTAATATGCTTATATCTTATCATGATAAAGAGATAATCTACTCTTAATCAAGACAAGACAAAGCTTTGATATTGTAAGTATATTCTTGTCAATCTATCAAGGACATGAACTAAAAAATGATGCATAAATCAATAAAATCTGTATCAGAGAAAGAATGACAAAAATAGAAATAAAAAAATATATATATTAAAAAAAACTAGAAAGGCTTATTGCCAAAAGACAAAAAAACTTAAGACTCTTGAAACTAGACTAGAAGCAAGAAAAGAATTAATAAGAGTGAAGAGGGCTTCACTCTTGTTTCTATATATACTATCTAACTAGAGGCTATGTGGTGATGTTCTATAGGACCTCTAATGTGTGTTGACTTTGTATGATATATGCCTTGACTTACAATACAAGTTTTTCTATGTATAGGCAACATAGTTAGCTTGGTCTTCAGGCTAACAACATATGTGGCACATGGCTAATTTATTGATCACATTTTTAATCCAAAAAATTAATTAAAGATACCTATAAAGTCAAAGAAACGTCTATAAAGCTTCTAGGAAGCTTCTATAGAAGATATTATAATTTTTTTTTTTTTTTTTTATCTACTTCTATTTACTTCTACTTATTTATACAGATAATTACTAGCTTACATGCATATGTTCGCAATAATAAGTAAAAGTTAAAAATATAAAAGAATTGATTTTTGCTTTAGTTGACTATAGCTCTAAGATAAATCTTATATTCAAAGATTTTTATAAAAAATAGGAAATGCTAATTATTACAAAGCATGGATAGATAATATAAATAATTAATAATATATTAAGTAAATTATATGGTATTTGCATAGATGTTAAAATCTAGATTGGTGATGTTGTGATAGAATTAATTTTTTTTTTTTATTTAAGATACAATATTTTATCCAATAATTTTAGAGTAGCCATCTAGGGTAATTTTATTTCCATAATGTAAAAAGTTACAAAATTTTATAATCAAATAAAAAAGTTCGATTAGTTTGATTAAATCTATTGTATAGTCATATGATTAGATTAGATTACCACAAAAATCAAAATCAAGCAAGGTTGATAATCTTCAGTGAAGATTATATAATAATTTTCTTAAAATAGTTACAACACTTAATTTATTTTAGAAGATATAACATAAAATGCACCAAAATTTAAATTATAATATAATAAAAAAATTGTTAAATGTACACCCCTTGTGCCACACACCCCTGCACATACACAATAAAATCCTTATTTACACTAAAAAGTGTTAGGATAAATTTAGTATAAAAGATTCTTTAATTGAAACTAGTTATCTTTTTGAAGTGAATAAAAATAATAAATTTCAAGTACAATTTATTATAAAATTTTAATGATTATAATCAACAATCAAACAAAATTAAAAATAAAAACTAAAAAGCATCACAAACCATTGTACACAATTCTTTTAATATAAGTTTGCTCTAAAAAGTTTTAACATCTACTTATCTTGCGTCACTCATGGAATGGAAGTCTCACTCTGTATTGCAACTATCATGAAGTATTGCCGGACTTGCATATGTAACATAAAGAGAAAGGGAAAGCTGAACTCTTCTAACATCAACGGTGCTTTTAATCCCACCATCCTACTTATTTGGGACATGATCAGAAAACTCTAAAATGGTCAAACTGGCACCCTCCGCTCCCGAAATCGATCAAAAAACTGCCACGCCGAAAACCTCGTCAAAAACAATGCCGACATATGTAGATTGTGGTAAATCTCGTTCAAAATTGTGATGAACCAAGTCCACCACCATTATTTCTGACACATTCACACAGTATCTGTTCACTACGTCTAAAGGATTCACTTGTACACAAGGAACAAAAAGGGCGAGATATCGTTCGGTACAACTTACCGAGGTAAAGAAAGGTTGTCGAAGAATGTTGCCCAGAATTGGAACTCTGTATAAAAAGACCAATGCTGTAGGCCAGAAACCACTGCACCATCGCAAGGTGAACATGCATCAGTAATTAGAGCAACATAGTAGTACATGCACACCTCACAATTACATTGCAGGTCCTCCCACGGTTGAACTAAGAATTTCTAGAAGTAATCAACGCTTTCTTACTATGCCCTTAAAACTTCCTGTCTCGTTTGGAGCAAAATTCAACCTGACTGAATCAATAATAAAGTGATCTCACCTAAACAGCAGAACAAAACCATACGTCTCTATTAACATGCCCACAATCGCCCACCCAAAAATGACCAGGGCAAAGCCCGCGGCAAATAATATGGAACCCTGCAAGAATGATTAAACACAAGAGCATTCAATTGTAAGTAGGCAGTGGTGTATACGATTGTCAACTACTAGAAAGCGAGCAAGTGCAAGACGAAGTAAAAAATAAATAAAAACAAGAACACCTTCCATGTAGTCACAAAACAGTGACAGTATGAAACAAACCAAAGATGCAGTGATTATTTCTAATCCGAGAGGGTTATGAGATTGATGTGATACCATATTTTGGTCCTGCACCTACTCAAGTAGAATACAGAGAAGCAATAGAAATCAATGAATTAATGCAACGGCTTCATAAGGTGATGGTATAAGGTAAACCCATAAGTACCTTATAATTGCGAGGCTTGAGGAAAAATGACACCGTCCCTTTTATACCAATGGTGATCATTACTCCTGCTACGAATAGTATCTGTCCAAGAACAGATACAACAGGTCATGGTCAACCTCCGTGCCTTGCCAAAAGACATAGATCTATACACAAAATCAGAACCAAAATTGGCCCATTAATCAATGCAGAACAAGACGGAGGTAAACGCTGTCATGGCCGATCACCTGAGACTTAAACAAGCATGTACAAGAAAATCAATTTGATAGTGACATTGTATGAATCGGTACGAGGTCACGCAAGTTTTAACTCGTTCAAACAAACGAAGAAAAGTCTTCATCTTCTTCGTTAGTGTGGGGATATTCAAATGTTGAGACCTCACGTCTAAACTTGCTGCACTAAGGGATTGAAGAAAAACACCAAAAGCAGCTGGGATTGACAAATTAACATCATTTCTTACATTGCCCATGGCCAAGAGTCCTTTGTCGAAGAAGAAAACAACACCCAAGAAAGTGAACAGAACGCCGAATCCCGTAAGCCCAATTCCAATCTCTGTCCCCACCCAAATTGTCAATTACATGAGCCAAATCCGAGCACATATTGTTTAGAACATCACCTTGTTGATGATCCAGATTAAGAAAAAAAAGATTTTCACACCTTCGCGCACAACTCCTGAACCCGCTGCTCAGGAGGAAATATGGCACTCGCCGTCTAAATCTGTAATGTTACCCAGATTTGGAGCCCTAAAACAATGATCTGTTCGTTTCGGTGCCGAGGGTAGGCCGGAAACCACAGATATGAACGTTGGACATCCTTGGACAAAAAACAAACGTCGAGAATGGAAGGATTTGAACAACCAACTAAGGATCGATGCACGGAGCAACAACCTAACTGAATTCAAAAATCTCATTCTGCTTAAAGGGTTTCCTAGAAAAGCGAAACTAACACCCCAAGTTAGGGGTTGCTTGACAATATCTCCAATCATCATGACATGTCACAGAGTCAAATAAAACCCTCACAAATGCTGCTCAAGGGTTTGCACCCAAAACCAACAATATTAAAATACATGGGAGATGCGTTCGATTAAGGGCGAGAGAAAAGCTTACTTCTTCGATCGTTCATCTCGAACCCCACCATGGTGACTGCCTGCTAGACAACAGAAGAGTGTTGAACAAGGCAAAGAAGAACAAGAACAGAGGTAAAATCTGAGCGATAGACGGCAAGATAGACAGGAGGGAGGCCCAGCAGCGGAGCAAGTGCAAAGACGCAAGCTAAGAAAGAAACGTGGAAAGGAACAGCGAGAGCCAAAAAATGAAGCTGCGAGAGAGAGAGAGAGAGGGAAAGAGAAAGAGTGAAGGTGTCGGCGGGAGGAGCAAGGAAGCGGTAAGTCCTCCCTGTGACCAAAGCTCCACACCCAACAGGACAGAATCCAACAAGGAAACGGTAATGGGCATCAGAGTTTCTGCGATAAGTCAGCCCAGTTTGACTGTGCGCTCTCCAACCCTCCTTTTTCAAGAATTTTCCTCCCACTTTGTAAGCAAGACCTTTTCCGAAATCCAGGATCTCGACAAGAACAACAATTGAGCATGTGCATGTAGAGATACTGTCGAGGCTAATTAAGAGTCTAGGAAAACTCGGGTCAAGCTCTCCGAGTAGAATGCGGAGAACTTCAAGCAACATTCCGATTCCGTAGAAAAAAACAAAAACCCAACAAAGTCTACTTTTAAGTGACTGGAGTGAGCCGTCTGCAACAGTCGGGACCTGTTTTGGTGCAATTTTATGACCTCCACAAGTAAGCAGATATATCTCGTACTGCTCTTTTATTAAGCATTCTTTAACTGCCCCACATTCCTCATAACTAGTCGACATGAAATGTCTTGATGTAGCAATAGCAATTTGAGATCATGTCCGTCTGAGCTGTGTAATTGTCGAACCGGTTGCATGCCCATGTCGTGTTTAAAACACATACAGGGGCCCAACGAGTTGAAATGAAGCTTGGAATCTTCGTAAGGACCAAAAGGTTTGTAATGTTCGGACTGGGAGATGGAGGATGTCAGAAGATTTTGGGTTTGATTGTTATGAAATTCACAGTGCTTGTGATTCGATCTTAAAGTAAATTTGATGGGTGACTGGGCGTGTCAACAGATCTTCATCAATGGGATGTGCGAGAGCAATGTTGGTCAGGTTCTTAACAGGAGTTCAGAACCTGGGGTTTGGTTCGTGTTGAGGAGATTGATCACTGGATCTTACCACTTTGCGATTCGATCTTTCCAGCAGGAATATTGTTTGCGTCTTCATGATTGTCTGGCGAAGGCACTTACTGTTACTGGTGCAATTCTAGCGTGTTTCTGTTGAATTCCTTCCGACTGCATCCTTGAAAAAATTTTAGTTTCACGTGACAGATTGTTCCACTTCAGAAAGTACGCTTCCTCAATTGCTTTATGCATGGTGCATAAATCCAACTGAAAAATGCTTCATCAAATTGGTATTGCACAGGTTGCACAGGATCCATCGACGCTGGTGGTTTTAGCAAGCACTTCCTCACATCTTACTGGTGGTCGAGCTCGTTTCTCTCGAAACTATCCAGGTACGTAAGGCCAATCACGTTAACTTCGATATCTTACAATTTCCACCAAATTTAAGCTGCTGCAACTCATCAGAGCGCTTCAATATTATATTCCACTATTGTACTATCAACGTTCTGAATAGCAAACAGGAGTTAGCAATGATCGTTGTGTGTGTGTTGTATCAATGTTGACATGCTGCGTCGATGGACTGGTCAAACCAAGTCATTATAACCCCCTTGTTTGCCTGGAACCTCTTGTAGCAACCTCATTTGCCAGACAAATGACGGCCTGGTAGAAAATGGAACTTGGAGCGGATTAAAAGTTTGTGTTATCCTCATGGCCTTGGTCTGTTGATTGTCATCTCGCAAATGTTGCTCGATGTACTCGATGTAGGTCCTTCTACCAGCTGATTTCATGTCAATTCCCACCCTGGTAAACCTCCCGAACGCTGAACCCTAAACCCTAAACTTCATGGAATCTGTTCATTGGACAACCTGGATCTGCGTGGCTGCTTCAAGTTAGTTGTGCAGATTTCGAATGCTTTTGACCTTAAACTGTTGTGGGTTGTACCCATTTCAGTCTTTCCTTGATCTCGTTAGAACAGAAATGCTAGGCATGCTAGGCATGCTAGCCATCCTATTGCATGACAGGTTTAGAGTTCAGCGTTATTGATTGAATAACAACTCTTATACCATAACTTAACTAATCTAGGATTGAGGGTTGTTTTTATTCTCATAGATATTTAGTGCCTGTTTTGTGTTCAATCCCTCTGGTCAATCTACATTGGTTAGGTCTAGGTTTGTGAACTGTCAATGCCTCCAGTTCTTGTCCTCACTTGTTAATTCAATTCATGTGCATTGAGCATGAGTGATCTTTTTTTTAAGTGATGATTGAATTCATATATATATATATATATATATATACACACATGTGTGTTTGTGCATGTATGTGTTGAACTTTTACTTAACCCTGTTGTACATACACTTGCTCATCCAGCACCTTTCTGTGAATGGAATTCTATTATTTCTGTTTTTGTTGTAGATTTTCATGCATTTGTCAGTAGTTTTTGCCTTTGATTTTTTCAAATTTGGAAATCTTGGTAATGAATGTTGCTTTGATATTTAAAAATTTGGAATTGTTTGTTCATCTATACTTTTGTTATCCAATGTATGTAGAAATTTTGATTCAGCCTTCATGTGCAGTTTCAAACTTCTATTTTTGTATGTGATCATAAAAAATTATTGTTCTTGTCATTATTTACTCTAAATGTCGTAAAAGTTAAATTAAATTAAAAACTATGGATTTGTCAACTTCAACATCCATTTTGAAGATTTTCTTTTGAGTTCTAAATAAGTGTTGTTATTGGGATTGTTTATTATAAGATATCTCTTCAAAGGTTTATGATTGGTTTGTAGCAAATTTATAACATTGTTTGTTTTAATACATCCATGTCATATATATATATATATATATATATATATACATTTATTTATTTATTTATAAACACACACACAGTTATTCACTTATTTCTAAATCCTTCCTCAAATTAAAGTCATGAGACATCACATTGATAATGGATACATGATGCCAACCTTCAACAACCATACACCCAGAGACTTATTTCACACACTTTGAAACCTCACACATAAATGAATTACCAAAATTGAATGTCCCACATCTCCAAAGTAAACACCATTCACTAAAATCAAACCCACTTGAAGAAACTTAAACGCTATAACACAACACATGAATACAATCGAATTAAAAAAAAAAAAACAAAAACAAAAACAAAAATTCGTCTCTGAAATACATAATAACATACATATTCACCTTCAAAAAATGACACCAAATAAACAAAGCATAATTCTACTAAAACATTTAAGAGGAAGACATAAATTAAAAAGTTTCAACAAGCACAGAGAAGGGCATCTTAGGGCATCTCTCTCTCTGTCTCTTTGGCACAAGATTTGCATCGACCACACGAATCTTGTGCCTCCACCGTTGCGCTTGATCGACGAAAACGAAGACGTAGTTGCGGTTACGCGATTTGCACCAGCCATCACTCGAAGCGTTTAATGTTTGTGGGTGTGCGTATTCACGATCACATATGCACATATATTATATGTCTATACATATAAGTATACTAAGTTAGTCAGATAGATTGTGAGATTTGTGTTTGTTTTTGGTTTTGGGTCCTGTCTCTCCGCCCGCTTTTGTGTGTTGGAAAATTGGGTTAGAGGTGGAACGACTTGGTTGCGCATGTGATTAAGGAGATTACCGTGCGGTACGAAGGGGCGATGATGAGTCAGGCGCTATCCCCCGCTCTGGAGAAGAAGCGGGCCAAAAAGGAAGAGCGATTGCAATCGCACCTGCAAACCTATTTGAATGATTCTTCCGCGCGTCGTTCGCTGGTTGCCGCTTCCTCTGACCCGAACGAATCTGTTGATGGGTTCCTCGCTTCCTTCTCGCAATGTCGCGACCAGGTTCTCGCGATCCCTGTCGTCCTGCGTTGTGTTTATTTTTATTTTTATTTTTATTTTAAAATTTGCCTTGTCGCTGCAGTTGTGTTTTCTTTCCGGAGAGTAGTGATTGATTTCTCAATCTAGGGGTTCTATGTGTAGGTGGAGGATAAGCTGAGTGCAATCCTCGCCAAAAAGTCGAGCAAATCCGATGAAGGAGCCTTGGAATGTGTTCGAGAGGAACTGAAGAGCTTGTCATTGGAAATCGTCAACATGGAATCATTGGTTGCAGATTCTTCCTTCTTTTTGCCCACTTATATTATGCAAAGCTCTCAGTCGTCGATAACGAAGTTGAAAGAGGAGATTGAGGCGACCACGGCCGAGCTTCTGCCGAAGAAGAAGTTCTCTTTTCGTAGCAAAACTGCCAAACCAACCAAGCCCGTCGAGAAGAGTCAAGAAATTCTTCCAGCTATACCTGCTACTGTTAGTGATAGCAATTCTATTGGCCCAGTGCTGAGCTTTTATGGTATCAAGGATCAACATGACTGCACTCTTGTACGCTATTCACAGGATCTTGAGGACAGAGAATTCATGCTTACAAACCTTAGTAACTGTAAGATTTATCTGAAAGGTATGTGCAGAGCTCTCTATGTGAACAAACTTAGGAATTGTCTCGTGTGCACTGGTCCTGTGACGGGATCTGTGCTCATTGATGATGTAGAGGGCAGTACATTGATGCTTGCATCTCAACAAATTCGAATACATTCCACGAAGAACACCGACTTTTATCTTCGAGTACGCAGCCGACCTATCGTTGAATACACAAGTTCTGTTCGATTTGCTCCTTTTGCATTTCGTTATCCCGGTATTGAAGATGCACTCCAAGCTGCCAATCTCCAGGAGGAAACAGGTGCGTGCTGAATCTCAAACTACCTATCCTTTCGCTTGGATTTTCATACGTGATGTGCACCTAAGGCCATAGTTTTCATGTTAAAACCATCAGTTGTGAAGGTATCCTGCAGTCTCCTCTTGGTCGTGTATGGAAATCATTTTGCACATTCATGGGTAGCCTGACCTCTCATTCTCACAACAGCTACTTCTCATATAATGATGGCAGGGGAATGGGAGAATGTAGACGATTTCAGATGGTTACGAGCAGTGCAATCACCGAATTGGAGTATCTTGCCTCCAAGTGAGCGGATTTGTATAGATGAAACAGACAATGCTTTGAAGATCTAATCCTATAAAAGTGCGTTTGCACTTCTTACAAAAAGGACGGACTTATTGTTTTTATTCTGGATGCAATTCACTTCACAAACTTCCTACTGTTAGAGAATGCTGACATAGACGGAACACAAGCTAGACATCATGCGTCTTGGATGTGGAGTTAAGTGATTTTGAGTGTGCTTTGAATATAAACAGTCTTTATGCTCAAGTAAGCACAGCTAAAAGTTGCAACGAAATTTGGTAATTTTATACAGTATACCCGTGGCCCTTGCGTGTAGGAAGTGCGCCAAATAGACACATGTTTTAAGATGAAACTACGGCGATTTTTGGTGCTTAGGGTTGTGTCAGATTGGAATTAGGGTTGTTACAACCAAGAAAGCGTGACGTCCTTGAATGAATCGCCTCACCATGACAAATATAGTAATATTAACAAAGAAGTTAGTTTGATTATAATCGGACATGCCCAGTAGGTACTGCATTTTGGACAGTGAATGCGAAAGAATGCTAAGCGATTGAACACGATTTTGCTCCTCCTGGGTTCTGAGGGTGATCGCCAATTCTATCTCGTTCTTCTTCCTTGGTTTCTTGAGGTTTATCATTGGAATCCGTATCAGTCTCGCACGGGTTGTATGCCGTTGAGGGTGCTGACGCGCAAGTCGACACTGGAGCAAGCTGTGTTGGATCGTAGTACCCAATTCAAAGCCCTCGGGAAGTTGTTGAAGCAACGGTTGCAACAAGTCGGGCACGTCGTACTCCACGATCATGCTCTCTCCGTGAGGAGGATTCCATGGAGACAGTCCTCAGAACCTTTTAGGGTCGATGCAGAGACGAGGCCCAAACGTGGGTATTCACAGGTAGACCAAAGATTGATTTGGTTTTCTGTGATTCGACACAAGCATCCCCAGAAATTCTCAGTCCTGAGCAGGCAAAAGATGAGGTAATCCAAACCTCACCAAGTGCTGTTGTGGTAAACGAAACATTTAGGGAGTTAGAACAGCAGCAGAAATGAACAGGCTAGAATTCTAGAATATTACAATAACTAGAACCATGTACAAGTTTTTAGTACCGGGTGTAAGTGGAGCTATGGAAGTCCATGTTGAATGCCCAAGGATCCCAACCTTAGGTGAGTTGCTGAGGCTTTTGCGCTTCACCAACACCACAAACTTCTGGATTCTGTTAGCAAATTTACATAGAGATGTGGTTGTAGTATAGGATGAGCACTTACAATGTGCATCTATTACCTTGCAAAGTACCCCATGAAAATGAAGGCAAAAATGTTAGTGAAAGTTGGTACAATGCCTACACCAAAAGGTTATGAAGCACGAGGGGTTATCACCTGATAATGCCACAAAAGTTATGATGCCATTATTCTAAGGCAAAAATGACATTCACAAGTTTGGAAGACATAAATAATTCCTGTGGCAACACTGAAGGTTTACAACGATTGCACAGAAAATTTTGAGCGCGCAACAAGTGCACGGATTTGTGTAAGCTGTTATTCTAAGATCCCAAATACCTTGTCGTTAATGTCACAACAGTTGAGCTTCTCAGTGTAGATAACATCATATGGAGACAATTTGAACTGATCTGTGCAGCGTAGAGAGCCATGTCAATTGTGTAAACAAAGTGGGTATTGATCCAATGATAATTGATTCAACAACTATATATATATATATATATATATATATATATATTCTCTTGTTTGTATGGATTTTTTAATTTTTTAATTTTTTAATTGTTTTCACTTGAGTTGTGCTTCATGGTTTGCAAGATTTTCACAATTTGTAGGTTTTTTCCGTGTTTACAATTTGTTGTTTGTAAGTTGTTTCCTTGGATATTTAGTTTGTCTTGTGTGGAATGATAAGTTGGATATTGTTGGGTTTTTACCATGTATGTTCTGTTGTGATGTTTTGTATTTATTTTCACTCCTTAGTTCTAATCTTCCACATTAAACTGTGCTGTGATGAACATTACAAAAAAATTCTATCATATGATATTTAATGTCAATGCAAAAGACTAGCAATTGAAATATGTTGGGATCTTCTAAAATAAAAATAATATCACCAAAAATTCTAGTAGATTTTTATCTTTTGCAGTTGAATAAATGTTTTTAGAGACAGTTCACTTCTTTTATTGAATAGTCTTTTTTTTACTTATAATTTTTTTTTTCTTTTTTTCTTTTTTTAAAAAATAAATTTGATTATTGCTAACTCATGAGTCTCAGCCCAAAAGCTTATAAAACGAATTATACTTGAATTACAATCAAACCACAACAAGTTTTTTGGAACGGATAAAGAAAAATAATAAGTTTAGTAAAGAATATAGATTTTTTTAGCTTCTTAGAAGTCTTAACAAACTAAACTTGGATGCTATAAAACCTAAGACTACATTTTATTTTTCTAAATTTAACAAAATAGTTGTGTTATGTACATAATTTTGTTTTAAAAATGTATCTTGGAATTTATCGTCAAAGAAATGTTTTATGCAAATCCTATTTTTTTTTTAAATCATAAAAATTATTGAAAAAAACCATAACTTCTAATTAATAAATTATAAAAAACAGGGTCTCTTATAAAATCATTGAATTAAATTTCATTTTCTTTCTTTCTTTTTTTTGGAAGTTATTTATGTAGTAACAGAATTTATGACCTATTTTGCTTACAAATTAATAGATGTTGCATTAAAATCTTCATTGATGCTGTCTAGAATTCTATTTTAAGTTTGATAAAGACCTTTATTTGCTATGTTTTCTAATACAACAATTAAGAGTTGTATTAGAAAATATAGCAAATATTATGAAAAAATCAGTTTAATATCTTCTAATAGATTATTTAATTTCATCTTTATTAAGATTTTTATTTTTTTTAGATATCTATTAAATTATAATTGACCTTGATTTGAAAACAATTAGAAATTTCTTGCAAATACAATTTATCTTTTAACTGCACCATTAAAATAACTCAATGTTTAATAAGTTTAATAAGCATATAATTTACTTAGATTCCTACTCTATTACAAAAAACCATGTATATACTAAGGAAGAAATACCAACAATAAATCTGAACTTAAAATTTTATCTTTACTACCTTATAATCATTGTTGCAAACAAAACCTTTATAATTCTTTTATAGTTCTTTTGATAGTCTTTTCTAAATTGTAACTTTACAACCTTATACTAGAGAAACCATCTTAAAACTAATTTCCTAATTATATCTTATACTTATGAAAAACAAATTGCTTGTATGTCATAGATTCTTTATTTGGAGCTTTGAGATTAAATTTTGACCTTGTTTTATAAACCAACGTCTCCTTGGTACTAATCCTATAGTTTTTATGGTTGATATCAAAAAAACATAATCTTAATTTTTTTTCATAGAGTAATTACATTATTTTTTTTAATCTAAGCTAATTTTTCTTGAGTTATTTAAAATGCTATTAAAGTAAATATTTTAAGCTGTAATCACATCTCTTTTTTTTATTATTATTTTATTTGATTTTACTCAATTGAGCCTAATTAAACAAGACCAAAGCCAAGGATAATTAAAGATTTGGTATTTTGAACTTGTAATATAGTCCAAGTTGGATTATACTTCGAATCTCTAAGCCAAATTACAAATAAGAAACTAGTTGGAAATTTTGTGATGGAAAAATAGAAGCACTTTTTAGAAATTTAGGAATTTAGAAAAAAAAAAAAAAAAAAAAAAAAAAACCCAAAAAAACCCAAAAAACACAAAAAACCAAAAAACCAAAAAAAATAAAATGTTATGACTCTTAGAAAAATATAATTTTTTTTATAAAAATTATAAAAAGAAATAGAGTAATTTAGAAGAATATAAAATTGTGTATACCAAAGAAGAATATAGTAATTGAGCTACTATCTTATGATTAAAAAAATATATCATTTATAACATAATTTTTACCTTTAATTTAAAACTTTTTTATTCTTTGAGAGAAGAATAACTAGAGATTATATTATGTATTGTGCTACTACAAAAGTATGTCCCCAAAAAATAAGATCAAACCTTTAAAAAAACTAATTAATGAAAAAATTGATCATTTAAGATTAAATAAAAATTGATTTTTTAATCAGAATTTTTGATGGTGTAGAAGTCCCTTAAAAACTTTAACAAATTAAAACTCATCAAATTTAGAGTAGTAAGGCAACATAGGTAATTGGTTGAAGAAAAGAAGGTCTTTAAGCTAGTTGAATGGTTTAAGACTACAACACCTTATTTCTCTTTTTTGAGTAAAGTTTTTAATTGCCTTGTTTACATTACATCTTTTTGGAAGTAATTTAGTAAAGGTCATAGTCACATTACAATCAAATGTTCCTATTTAGATTCAATTTAAGTGATTTCTTTCTATATTTTTATTTTTTATTTAAGTAAATTTATAATTTATTTATAGTAATTAAATAATTAAAATAATAGAAATATATAATATAAATTTTTATTATTTAAATGATAAATAATTATGTTATCAACAATGAATAAATAATAAGAATTTATAAAGATCAAAAGAAATAATTTAACAAATAAAACTTAAGATTGAAATTAAATAGAATATATTATTGGATTCTTACAGTAAAAAATATTATCTTAATTTATGATTAATTTTTTTTCTTTTCTAATGATAATTAAAATAGAATATTATAATTAATATTAATATCCTTGCTTTAAATTAATTTTACATGTTGAATTAATTACATTTATTTTCTTAAATAATAGAAAATTGATTTTATGCCTCTTGAAATTTATTGGAATTTAAAGTCCTAACACCAAGTGCTAAGAAGATTTTTAATAGATTAAGTGAAGATAAAAATATTTCTTAGAAAATAAAATTAATTAAAAATAAAGAAATGATAAGAATCATTAGACTCAAAGGTGGATTCGGAAGATTGTAATACATAAAAACTTGATTTAATCTTCTATTGTAGGTTCTCATAATTTTGCATATTTGATGGCCTTAGAATAAGCATAGACTTCTAAATACAAAGAATTGTAAAATGATAAGTAAATTAATTTGCTAAGAAATGTTTTCTTGAATATAAAATAAAAAATATAGTGTGATTTTTGTATATTGTAGAATATAAAGCATTTAGATATTAATACTATAGAAAAGAAACACACTCCAAGAAAATTAATTATAGACATTTAAGACTATATATCAAAAAATAAATATCTATAATTGCAAACAAAAAGTACATTTTAGTGACTATATATTTAACAAAATATGAATGACTATAGATTAAAAACATGTATTGATGGCTATAAACTTTTACAATACATCAGTGATTTTAGACTTAGAATACGAACTAAGAATATAGAATTAAAGAACACATCAATGACTATGGATTAACAAGACATATTAATGACAATTAATTAAAACATGTATTAGTGAGTACATGTATTAATTAAGAGGAAAATTACATATATGCACATATCTATGCTATTCTAAGCAAATCCTAAGCCTCGGGAATTATAGAAGATTTATTAACTTTTCATCAATAACAATTTTTAAATAATCGTTTCTCACAACTTGATTGTTTTCAACTCATACAATAGAATGGACAAACCAAAGCGTTTGAATGCAATTGATAAGATATAAAAAAAAAAAAAAAAAAAAATAGATCTTATAAATTTTTAATATTCATTTAACTCATTAAAACAAACACAACATACTTGAATAATCAAACTTCATAAGTTAATACTATACTATGATAATTTTTCCATATAATGTGAAATTTAAGAAAACCAATAGGTAGGTACTTTCATTTTACTACATAGACATCCCTTATCTCTCCCTCTTATCTCCCCTCTTATCTCCCAATGCTACACACTCCTACAAAAATTAACTAGTTTTGATTTTAAATAAGTTTATTCTATTCTTTAGTTGATATAACAAATCACAAATTTTTATATTTATATTATTCAAAATATAAAAAATTGACAAAAGTTTGCAAGCACAAAAAAATTGAAGACTTCCATAATATGGAGCCATAGAATGCAAATAAATAAAGATATATCAAATTTTGGTATTGGATTAATGAATACAACAAGAATCACGGTTTGAAATCATAATTGGTTATTTTTTGTAGAAATGCATATGTGGAGGTGAATAGCATGAAGGATGTCTCTGCAATAAAAGAAAGGGTATTCATTTAATAGTTTCCAATTCTAATAACCAACATAGCTTTGTCATATTGCATAATTGCTACCATGTTCTACACTCTCCTTCCCTTGGCTTGGCTATTTGAAAATGATTAAATGACAAAAACACAATGCCTATTAATACAAATGTACCTAGCTTTCTTTATTACTTTAATGGATGAAATTTTTATTAACCATGCAAGAAATACTAATTAAGGGATATAAGTTTAAAACTTAGAAACAACCTCCATTTCAAATACATTCATACAAATACAAAATGTTAATTAAAGAATATCAAATATTTGCAATACATTGATTGATACATGACAACAACGAACATTGAAAAGATTCATAATCAAGTTTGAAAACACCACCAATTACATATCTACCCATAACAATAGCAATAAAAATAAAAATAAAAGACTACAAAATGTATCTGTGTTCTACAAAAAATAAGCTTCAAAATGTGGAGTTTTTTGCACAGAATTTTGGAAGGGTCACTTGTATCAGAGCTCAAACCTGAAATGTTCGTGCATAAGCAGATGGTACCGCATCCCAAAACCATATCAATCTGACTTCAAATGTTTGAGTAATACTGCTACCGAGATTTTTAAAAGGGTATGCGAGAAAAACGTCCTGGTAAAGCAATAAACTGGTTGCAATGCTTAGTCGGAGCTTTTCAAGTAAGAAGCCTCAGAGTCCTCTCCAGCAGCTCCATTGCCTTCTCTCGCTTGTCCCAACGGAGAAGCCCCCGCCTGTGGACCATCGTTTCTTGTGCTTAAGCTTGTTGGGGTCCCCTCCCGGGATTCCTCAGGCTTTCCATACTCGGATACACTACCTCCTGTCTGATTACCGTTGCCTCCTGTAGAGTTTTTCACCAAGTGCATGTCTGAGTTTCTCTGGGGAACCATACCTTGCGGCTGCTGGCTGTGGTAGGACTGCTGCTGCGGTGATGGTGCGTTTGGTGACCCCTGTTGGCTTTGTTGCATGTATTGTGGGATTGAGTTTCGCTGATTCATCATCATCATCTGCTGCTGCTGCTGCTGTTGAATATATTGCTGAGAGGGCTGCATAGATTGTCCTGATGAGACCTGCCAACGCAGATTATATTGATTGATGATCATGAGACTTAAAAAGAGAATTTGAAAAAAGTACGTCGACAACTTGAAGGTTGTTTTGGTGCACCAACATTGTGTAATGCATGCATGGTCCCCCAGAGAAACTCAGACATGCACTTGGTGAAAAATTCTAATCACCTAAGTGGGGTCAGTGGGGTCAGACTAGGCACCTGAGTTGAGTTTTGGCTCACTTGAGGTTGTGCATCCGCAATGGCTGCGAGGTACATAAGATTCTGCTGCAACTTTGCTTGATACCTGCATACAGACCGTTGTAAGAATTGCTGCTCCAGCTCCACCACTAAACAGCAGATATTCTACACTCTTCGCAGACATGAGACATGAAGACATATATCAACAATGCCGCATATGCCGCATGACCAACCATGGTCACGGGCTCCAGGAAAGCTGGAATTCAAGTTTGTCTCAAACAATCAACAGAATGAAAGTCATCAATCTACAAGAAATTCACCAAACGATAAGCACGGTTCCCTCCTTTCCTGGTAGTTCAGCTCAAATTTGCTACTATTGTACTAACGAAAAATATGATTGGAAGTTAGAAGCGTACATAGCGCATTCGTTCAGCTTTCCAAGGTTTTGATTGTCAAGAATCGCGAGGATAAGCTGCTTGTTCTCGTCCAGATACTGCACGTCAATTAAGACACACAATCAGAAAAAGGTCAAAGTGGGGGATTGTGTCCTACAAGGTGCTTCTTTTCAGAAAAATAAAAAAGATAGAGTAGACCGCTGCTGATACCGACTGGTTACTCACGATGGGACAAGTATGTAGCCCTCATATCTTCAACTGTTCGCCAAAACCCATGGTATGTTTAAAAGATAGCGATACATTGTGGGTAGATCTAAGTAAAACCAAAACCTCCAAAATCCTAAACCCTCTGTTTCTAGCTTTTAATCAACAAATATCTCACAATGCCACATGTTTCCCACCTCACGCGCATAGGGATGAATGCGGGGCAATATGAGTGAACAGGGAGACTAACCACCAATGCAACTAGAGATCTTAGCTTTACTTTCAAAGCCTTTAGTTCCCGTAGAACCGCATCACCGGATTTCAACACTGGTATTATGTATTTATGAGTGCCCATTCGATACAACATTGACCAACAATCTTACATTCAACACGAGTGCGCCCGATGTATTCTCATATAATGACAGTTCCAAATTAACACCGAACCCTAAGTGATCGCTTCACATTCCTGCACAATTAAATGTTTTCCAAAAACACCCCAAAAAACTTGAGATCTCTTACAATGAAGAAAACCAAACATACGACAGACCTTCTGGATTAGCTCCGTGGTAATAGACGTCCCCGTATACGCCGCCATTTGCTGCATGGTTCTCAATTTCCAACACCAGAATTTCCTGTTTTTTTTTGTTTTTTTTGTTTTTTTGTTTTTCGTTCAACTTCTACCCTCACTCCTCATCACTCGCGCCAAAACTCCAAGCACTAACGCCCGAGAGCTCACAAACCCTACTCCTACGACCACAAATGCCACAAAGCACACTCAATCTAAACCGAAATACATCACCCGGGAACAGAAAGCCCAAATTTACGAAGGAAAAACTGGCTAGCGAGGCGCAGAGAAATAACTTTGTGAAACGAAGTATTTGACTACCAGTTCGGTAGGTAGTGAAGACGTGAAATTAGCTGAACGCCAAAACAAAGGCAGAGAACGGCGAAAACACGGAGCAGGCTGAAAGTTGCACTCCGCCAGTGCCTGTCGTGTACAGTACCTTGGACCCTCGAAGCATCGGATTGTGAAACAGTTTTAGAATACACTGGAAGCACTAGAATGAACATTTTGCCTGCTGAATGTCCATACAGTTCTCTAATTCTGAAATACACGTAGTTTAGATGGAGCTATTACCATGGGAAATTCAAGTGAGGAAACAAACAAAAACGCATCACTGTAGAAATAAGTTTATTCTGTGATTATATGTCAGAAGTATATGGCTGTAGCATGCTTCTAGTAATGAGCTCTGATAGTTGAGTAAAATATGCAGGAGCGTCTTGTCTAATTTATGCTCGGCCGTTCTCTTGAGATCGTGGATTGTCCTCTGTACCTTGTATTAAAACAAACTTACATTTTTAGACAATCATTTTGTCGATCTCGAGTAACACCGGAGATTTAGAAGGACGATACGAAACCAGTACAGAATCAGGAAAATTTCAAGCTTTGATTTAGGGTCTTCAAACAGATTCCGTAGCTTTTCTAAATAGACATCGTAAAATAGCCACTAAATACCTCACTGAAACAATTCTGGAATAAATATCTGTTTGTCGCTCTCTAGATGTGTCACCTTCTAGAGTACCTCGCACGTTTTATTTTACGATTTAAGGCTCATTGCAATTAAATCCCTTTTGAAAGTACCTTCAACGGCCATAATTTGGCAGCGTGATTTTGAATACCCAACTCAAAAGACGCTATTATACATTCTTTCACAATCTAGACGACGGTTGAAAAACTTGAGCACAGGGCCAGTTCACTGCAAAATTAGAACCAATAAATTGTATCCGTTGCTAGGAGGGACACTTCAATGAGGTGCACTGGGGAGGCACCTCGTCAAACTACTTGATCCCGCCGTTAGCAATAGTTTGGACTCTACAGATTCCAGAAGATGTGGTGAAAGGTACATCTTTATACTGAGCAACTAGATCACTTCCGGTGTGAAGGTCAGGTTGCACACTCTCCCATATCTTTTTCTTGGGGTTAAGAACATCGTCTGGTTCGCCAGTATAACCAGGGAATGTTACCCTCTCGCCCACAGCAGCGCCTTCAGGAGGGGTAACGAGCTCAACCACAGTATGGTCAGCGTTTGAAGCAGCCAAAACCATTGCTTGAGACTTGATTCCTCTCATAGCTGCTGGCTTCAAGTTACAAAGCACACACACTTTCCGATTCTGTAAAAACATTACCCACCATATTATTCATAGGCAAGCACGCAATACCTTTTTAAGACGTACAGCCACAGTAGCTAGCAACTACATGCTTTGAACCACAAAACTTCGAAGGACGAAACAAAAAAACCACATTGAGTAGCAATAACACAAATCAACCAATATACTAAAATCAACCTCCCACATGAACATCAGGCAGATGTAAATAATCTTGATAACGTAGTCTAGAAGGTAAAATACGTACCTGCATCTGCTCAATAGGGATGAACTTCACAAGTCCACTGACGACCGTCCTAGGAGTAGACTCTCCTACATCAATCTGCTCCACATAGAGAGAGTCAGCATCTGGATGTTTTTTCACGTCCGTAATAAGACCAACCCGTATATCAAGCCTTGAAACATCCAGAGGCAGATCCTTTGCAACAGCCGGAATCTTCTTTCCCGTTGCAGCATTTCCACCTTTCTTTCCCTTGGTGTTTTTCTCTGGTGCAACTGACACAACACCCCCAACACAGGCGGAAAATAAGTGTTCCATAAGAGAACAAGATTCAACACAAATAGCCAGCATCTCAAGGTTACGTAATCGACAACCAATAGGTCGGGAGGTTCGACATCATTCCTCGTTGAAAACACTAGCCTACCTGTAGATGAATTCGACACAGACAGAGCCTCAGTTGCAGACTGCAAAGCTGCCGCTCGGTCGGCCTGGCTGCCAGCAAACTTTTGTCTGTAGCCTTCCATTTCGTCGTCTTTCTGCAATTACAGAAAATTCAAGCTTTAGTGAACTTCGCTACTGGCTTTAAACAATCCCTAAGAAACACAACCACGAATGAAGGCTTCACACTTTTACTTAAAGAATACGCACCAACCTAAGGTACGGTACTTTAGGATACAGAATGCAAAGTACAGAAGTTTGAAGCACTGTATCTTAACCATAGTCAGGATTTGACAGCTGCGCACAAACATGACGGGAGGGCAAGAAGTACCATTTCAGCAAAAATAGGCTCAGGACTGCCGATGGAGTGACCTGATTGGACCAGCATCCAAGGCTTATAAGCTCGTTCCAGTTCATCGTTCTCTTCCACGAGAGACAATGTTGATACAGGAAGATTTAGTTGCGCAAGTACCTGATAAGGTAAAACCGCAGTTTAGTCTTAAGAATTGTGCAAGTACGTTCACAAAAGAACTAACACATACTAACGTACTCAATACCCACATCTCGATACAGAAAAGTTTGGTTACCCAGCAGCTGTCTACATACTCTAACAGCCACCTGAAAGGAACGAGAAAAGCCCTCATTTACTACAAGCATACCTTGTGAGAAAATGATGGCATAAAAGGCTCGAGGAGTGTTGCCAACAGATGTACCAAACCGACTGAAGTCTTTAGCACTATTGCACACGAGGGCTTGTCCTCCTTGTATAGCTTCCAGAATTGACTATCCTGTTCTCAATTAACGACGCAAGAAGTCAGAACAATTTGTTATACCACACTGAGGAAACCTCGTTGTGTACAAAACACTCACTAAAGAAAAGAGGAATAAACTTCAGTTTCACCATCAAAATTCATCTTGAAGCACTGAAACGATATTATAATCAAAGCAACATGCCTGCAGATACTGGTTGCCAAGACTGGATACTTGCATAGCGGCCTTCAGACCACCCTTCAACTTCACAGCTTCCATGCTTTTAATATATTCATCTACTGTGCTCTTGACCTTAATGGCAAGATTTCTGGTTAGTTCATGCTCCTCTGGATTGCCAACTTCTGGAACAACCTTCCCAAAGCCTCCTTCCCCTGCACTCAAATCCAATTCCAAATGATTTTGCTGTAGAGGAAAGTCGAGAAATAGAAGGTTGTTTTCCACCTAGCAGTATAAGGTATCAAAAGAAAGGCGTGGTTAAAGTAAGTTCAGTGCAACATATGCACAACCGTTCACATATTGTCGGACTTCTAGGCCAGTAGGGCTGCAACGAGAAATTAATCAGAGTGACTGACCCCCTAGAAAAACACCTTAACCCAGAAAAGCACCACCGATCTTGCTTGAGGCTTGGGATTATCGAAAACTAGGAAGCTGGCAAACTTTAAAACAATTAGCAATGAATGACATAGATCTACATAAACACGTAAATGCAACATTCATGCATTACCGAAAAATCAGGTACTTGTACCTAATGGCTTCGCTAAGAAAGATAGCGTCCGATGAACGAAATTGCCTAAGTTCTTCAGCAATTCGTTATTTTGTTTGGCTTGTAAATCCACCCATGTAAATAGTGTGTCAGAAACCTGCGAAAGTACACTTGAGGCAATAAGCAGCAGAAACAAGCAAAAATATTTGAGAAGCTTTCAAGGGTTAAACACGATGCTGTGTAGGACAGTAAGGAGGGAAAAACCTCTGGCCGGTTTGTAAGAAGGTAATATCTCCAGACTTCGACAGGTATGTTAGTACTTTTAACATCATTGCCAAACACACCAACCCCTCGACTTTTAGAGAACTTGCCTGCAGAACAGGAAAATCCATATATGAATTACAAAGACAAGCAATTACTACCCAAATAACACCATAAGCAAAATACGTGATTCATATCTGATATTTCCATCAGCCACCACACACTAAGGCCAATATCAGATATAAAATTAACCCAAGACAGGTAGTGCAAAAAACTAAAACCACCATATACAGACACCATAGATCAGGCTTCGCCTACAAACTAACAAAGAAATAGACTATGTATAAAACATAATGATTACAATGCTAACTCTATGGGTAACACACTAGAAATGTGAACACTCAGATGTACAAATATGCGAAAATTCAAACAAGAATTCAGACCTGACTCGTAGTTTAGATATTCAGTGACACTGATAGTCTTCATCAGCGTCCACGGTTCCTCCGTACCCAAAAGTGTCGAGGGAAAGATAACCTGACAAAAGTAAGCTCATTCATTAATACTCCAACCTATTCAAGATCATCTTAGACAACGGTCGGCGAACATGATAAGTTGACCCTACTGAAAATTGGCAACCGAGAGATGATGCATGTTGTGTGCTTTACCGTATGGAATGGAACATTGTCTTTTCCCATAAACTGTACTAGTTCGACGTCTTCAGGGGATTTCCACCATTTCTCCCATTCAGGACTGTAATTGGCCGTGATCGAGATGTAACCAATCGGAGCATCAAACCACACGTAAAATACCTGAAAGTTCCGCACACAATCAAAATCAGGGAAATGAATCTACCATACGTCACAACTAACAATGAGAGGCGAGGGGCAAGTCTTTCGTAATAATGCTCATTTGTTCCTGTAGCGTAACCTGTTAACCACTCCAACTTCAGGAGTGCCTCTAATACATGAACGTAAAACTGTATTCATAAGTCCGAGTCAAAAAGGCAGTGAAACTAGTGCTTGTTGAAAGAAGTATCATCTTATTCAAAAACGAAAAATAGTTGATTTCATGAAACCACCTTCAGGCACAATGATGATTAATGCCAAAGTAGGAAAGGCGGCTAGAATCTGTGCCTCATGGTTATGGATTATGATAGAGCACCTTATGCTTGTACTTTTCCAGCGGAACTGGGACACCCCACTTAAGATCACGAGTAATACACCGCTCTTTCAGTCCATCACGAATCCAAGCGTTGGTTTGTTGGATGGAATTGGAACTCCAGCCTCCTCGTTTCGAAGTATTGTTGATATACGACTGCAGCTGATCATTGAGGCCAGGAAGATCTAAAAATAGATGGTCCGTCGGACGCTTCTCTGGAGTGTTGCCACAAACCTGCCATTGAAATATACATCAGGCGCTTACAATCTCTAAGCACGGCATTAGAACGATCCTAAAATCAGCGAATATAGCTCAATGGCATAACGGCTCTAAGGCACAAGTCTTGTGAGAACCTCACCTTGCACCTAGGATTGATCAGGTCATCTGCATTGAGGAGCTTCCCGCACAAGTCGCATTGATCCCCACGAGCATCCTCGTAACCACAACCAGGTGTTGGACATGTACCCTCCACCAACCTGTCCGCCAAAAATCGGTTGCAAGTTGTGCAATAAGGCTGCATAAATTCGAAGGCAGTACATGTGAATGACGCATTGAAACCGTACAGAATTCACCACGTCCATCAATACCTACAGAACGATTGCTGCCTTCGCCAACGTAGTACAGGATTCTCAGTTGAATTCATGCCAAATTGAAAAGCCGCATAAACTCACCTGAATCATTGTATTCTCATTCAGCCTTTTCTTCTCGTACAAGGACATGAAGATAGCCTGTGCAATTTCAGTCTGCTGAGGTGTGGATGTTCGTCCGAACTTATCAAAGTCGATATCGAACCACTCGTAAATGTCTCGGTGGATAGCGTGGTATCTACGACAAGAGAACACGGACTCAGCTAAGAAACCCTGGAAACTATCAAGTTCCTGTATACACAGTTCTGCAAAGGAAAGACTGAAGGGAATAAATCGATTAAAAGAAGCACAAACAACTCGCAACTCAGCTCGAGTTACAATTCGAAGATCAGAATCAAAGCACTTAATTGATACAGAATTTGACGTACTTGTCACAAATCTCCCGAGGAGTGAGGCCCTCTTCCATAGCCCTAGTCTCAGTAGCAGTCCCGTACTCGTCAGTCCCACACATGTAGATAACATTGTAGCCCCGCCTCCGGCAGTAACGAGCGTAAACATCAGCACTCAAAACACCTGCAATTGCGCAAATCTTCACCTCAACCGACCAAATACAAGCTCAGCAACTTACAACTCACCGGTCTAATCCACACCCCTCAAAATTACCTCCAGGAACTTTCGGCCCAGGCCGAACACATCAAAACACGGCAACGGAAGGGGAGATTGCAGCACAAGCTCCGTCAGGAATGGAATCCACAACTGAACCACCTACATCCGATTATGTTGCCCAGGTGCGGCACATTGTTGACGTAAGGCAGCGCGCTCGTGACCATAATATTGCGCTTGCCGGGAATGGGAGCCCTCGCAGGACGATGCTCACGCACCGCATGGAAGCAGTCCCCCTGGTTGGCCATGCTTCCACGCTCCTCCTCGACACTAGAAAGGCTGCCTCCAAGACAGGGCTCGAATCGATGTAATGCTCTTGACGTGACGAAGTATAACGAAGAAGGCAAAGGGGTTTCCAATGAACTCTAGGGTTAGGGTTTTTGAGTCCAACAGTGAGGACCTTGTTCCCCGTCGTGGTATGCGTTTTACTTTAAAGCGATCGGGTTCGTTAAAGTAAATGTTAGAAATTACATAATTCCAAGCATCAAACATGGGCTCCGTTGTTGGGCTTAACTATTCTTTTGAATTTGAAAAAATAAACATCATTATTAATGTTAAAAATAAATATACCGATGTCCTCCCTCTAAGATTTCGCCGGCATGGGTTTCGTTTAAAAAAAGTATCAATGATCTTTCTCTAATTCTTTATCTGAACTAACTAGACTAAATTTTGCCCTTGAACATTTGTGAGGTTTTAACTTATATTAAATTCTTTAAGTTGTATTCTTTGGTTTTTATACCTTGATAGTGTTTCAGCATAATACATATGATTTTTTTTTATTTATTCATTTCATATTTAGATGAAAAACACATGTTTTATTTTATTTTATTTTATTTTTGACTTTTGAATTTGGATTGAAAAAATCACCATTCTAAACTCTTCCACCAGGTACAACGCTGTTAATTCTAAATTATTATTTTTTCTCAAGTTCAATGCAGAACCTGAATATGTTTATACATATAAAAACTAGCAGACGCTTGTATTTAATAACATCACAAAAAATAGTTTTGAATCTATTAAAGTTTTGTATTTCAATTTTGATATATATATATATATATATATTCATATTTCTATACATTCTAATACTTTGTTTATAATCTCAAGAAAAAACAAACAAACTCTTATATATATATATATATATATATTAATTTCATCCCTTCTTGCAAATTAGGTCATTAGAACATTCAACAGTAACATTTTAATTTTTTAATTTTTTGATTAAATCTATATCGTATTCTTCTTGTTAGAGTTCAAAGTAATTACAAATCAACAATAATCTTTCTCTGTAAATTAACTCAAGAGTAATGCAACATGCATCATTCTTGCTTTCTCCTATTTTTTTTGAGTACATAATACCCTTCAAATGTTGTAGCTTCCAACTGTTGTATGTTGTTGCTCTTTCACATTCAATTCCTTTTTAATTATCTTCCTTCAATTTTCCTTATAAGTAAATTTTGTAGTAATTCAAGGCGCAAATTTAAAATTTATGTACAACTAGCCATTAAAGCTTTGCACTAAAAAATTTCAGACTTCTTGATTTCATTAGATTTAAAAGTGTTCGTGTCAAGCTCCAAAATACCCAGAAATTTAAGTTCTTTAATTTACAAATAAGCACTGATTATATCAAATCACTATCTCAAAAAACCCCATTAAATGATAAAATCAACACTCAGTTTAATTTAAGAGTAAAGGAATATCACACTGCTCTAAGAACACTTTTTCTTAACAAAATATTTACATATTGAACACAAACACCAACATTGATTTTGATTTTTCTTATTTTATTTTGTGAAAATTCCAAATATTCTGAGAAAATGAAAAAGGAAAAGTAAAAATGAAATATATATATATATGAATTTGAAGAGTAGAAAGTAAAAGTTAATCGTCACTTTTTTCCCTCGTGGCTCATCCATCCATCGTCGCCTGAAAAGCGGACGTCAGTTGACGAAAGAGGACATGAAAAGTGGGGGGGACATGAAAAGCGGTGTTCCTTATCCACAGCTATCCTATCCCCGCGATCCTATCTATCCCCGCGAGACTCATCACGCTCAATCAACCGTGCCCGAAATCGCACTGCTACCACTACTACTACTACGCCGCTCTGATTCTCAACTCAACCGCTGCATCAGGATCGATCCACAAGGAACATTCTCATAACTTGCACTGCGGCTGCATTGAGTTCGCATCTGGGGTAGTTCGTGGGTGTGAGTGTTTGTGTCTGTGTTTCACACTCGTTGTTGGCGGTGTAGAGTTCCAGGTCCTGCAGTCATGGCCGCAATCGCTTCCACCGCGATCACTACCGTGGCGATTGCTTCGCCGTCCTCCGTCGCAGTGTCCCGGCCCCGCGCTGCCGCTTCCTTGGCGATCTCTGGCTTCCAGGTACGTCTTCGATAGTGTCGTGTGTGTTTTTGTGCGAGTCCGTTCGCACGTTTTCGCAGACGTTGTGCTGTCGTCGTTCAGGTCGAGTTTTCTAGTGTCACTCTTGGATTGCTGAGCGATGCCGATGTGGGTTAGCTGCAGATGGTGTAGTTTGTCTCGTTGCGAGGACTTGGACTTTTACTGCGGATGGTGCTGTTCGTCGCAATCCGTAATTGGTCCTTCTGTGATTATGGGATTCATATGTTTATACGTATTGGATAGTGTGTCTATGCTCTTGGAGTATTTAACGGCCGTGATAGTATATCTCTAGATTTTAGTTTGGGCGTTGATTCGTTATTCCATTGTCTTCTCTTTTTCTTTTTTCTTTTTTCTTTTTGAATTATTTGCGAGAACTAACTCTTTGTATTCCTGGAACATCAGGGACAGAAGCTGGCATCCGTTTGCAATGGTGGCCGTGTGACGATGGCTCAAGCTGGAGCTGTCCCTGATGGCGTCGCTGATCGCAAACCCGATGCGAAAGAGGCCCCGAAAGGCTTCACTCCTCCAACCCTGAACGCCGACACCCCTGCACCGATTTTCGGTGGGAGCACGGGTGGTCTACTGCGCAAGGCCCAAGTCGAAGAGTTTTACGTCATCACCTGGGAATCTCCCAAGGAGCAGATCTTCGAAATGCCCACCGGTGGCGCTGCGATCATGAGGTCCGGACCCAACTTACTTAAGCTGGCCAGGAAGGAGCAGTGTCTTGCACTCGGCGCCAGGCTGAGGACTAAGTTCAAAATTCAGTACCAATTCTACCGTGTTTTCCCCAATGGCGAGGTGCAGTACCTCCACCCCAAGGACGGAGTCTACCCAGAGAAGGTGAACGCTGGAAGATCACCCGTCGGAGTGAACAACAGGAGCATTGGAAAGAATGCTAACCCTGCAGAGCTCAAGTTTGCCCACAAGCAAGCCTACGATTTGTAGACGCAGGGTTTCCTTCGCACTGCAAGTTAATGAATGTAAAGTAGTTTCATACACCACGAGAGGTTGTTCAGCACATCTCGTGGTTTTTGAGAGGTTTGCGGTTGGTGTTTATTCCGACATGTAAAACGACTTTGGTAGAGTTGTTCTTGTATATCTTGTGAGAGCAGCTCACCACATGAGAATGTATGATCTACCAGGTTTAGAGTCAGGTGCACGAAAAGCTAGTGTTAACTGTCTAGCTTCCTCATCTTGATTAGGTGACAAGAATAGCTACTAAAAGCTACTTCAGACGAATGTCGAAATCGAAATCCCTTTCAATGCCGAGAAGACCCGAGATGTAGAAAATGTAAACACTCTCAAATTTCCTCGCTATCACTCTTGGCTTTCTGTTTGAAATATTTGAGATGCTGTTGTTCTACTTAAAGCGGCCTTATTCTTTAGTCGAGTGTTGCGAATAAACTACTGTCTGTCCAGCACCGGCATGTCTTTTACTCCGAAGGAATTTCGGCATAAAATTTTCGCATGACTGAGAAAAGCTATGAGCAGTCTTGATAATGGCGACTGTTTCTGATGTCTCGCCGTCACAAACTTCTAAAGCTAAGTAGTGTGAAATCTAAAACCCCATCGCAGTGGGGTTTGTGGGTTACATAAAGTCCCTTCTCATCAACACTACTTTACCAACTGAAAGAAACGGAAGCACCAGCTGGCACTTTTCATTTGCACCGTCACACCTACACACATGAACAAATCGATACTTATCCCATGAACCTATCAGAAGAGTGCAAGAGTCGAATAGACACCTTTCACTAAACCTCGGGATTTGTTTCTTTTTACAATCGATCATAAGTAGTTACAAATCTGGTGTGTCTTGATATACTCGAAGAGAGGAGCAAGCACTGCGCCAGCCAAGCAAGGAGTGCAATACCAAGGTGAATCAAGCGGATTCTAGACGGCAACATTTCCCTCACGAACCCCCACCCGATAAAAATTAACTAGATTTAGCGTTGAGCTGAACAGAATAGAACAGCTTTCAAACTCGATATCCGCCAAAATCCGCCAAAAGACCATCAAAAGTGCGCATTCTTTCTGTCTCTACTGGTTGTGGTGGATCGATGGAACTCCCCCATCGCGCCAACGATCCTTGCAATGCCTTGGAATATGCTCCAGTTAAGTCATTTTTCATCTGCTTTCTAGAAGGTTTCTAACACACCCACAAGTCGATTGAAACATATCTGGTGGAACTTTGCAGCTCGCGATCGGCACCGAACATAAAAAGTGAGAAAAAACGTTCATTGATTTTCCTGGCAGCAAAAAGCTCATGGTGTCTGACATCACATCCTCCTCAAAAGTGACAGTTTTGGCATTAAGTTCTGGAGGTTATTTTTTTCATCAGAAGCAAAAAAAAAAAAAAAACAAAAAACAAAAACAAAAACAAGGAAATTCACGATTGTAATTCTTGTTTAGTGTTTTTGTTTTGATGTAGATTTTAGGGAATATTATACGGGTCTTTAAATTCAAGCGTAGTGATTAACCTGATGACTTGACAAATTCCTGAAGTGATTCGTTTTGTGTCGGTATTCTTGTAAGGGTTGTGTTGCATGATGCAGAAGATTTTGCCAAGCATGTATTTTTTTAGTTTGAAATAATTTAATTCGAGATTAGTATGTGTTTTAGGATCACGATCCCAAATTTTTGGGCATCTTTTTTCTTAATCGTGGATTTGCTTGACATTTGATTTATTTTATTTCATTTTAGATATGCTTGGTTATCGGCAACATCTTACGATCAATTTATATTTGACATTAAAAGATGATTTTGATAAGCTTTTATATATTTTGAGATATACATTCTAAGTTTGATATTATTTCCATACTTTTCTCCAAGTTTTATAAAATCCAAGAATGTTTGTAATACTCTATTTTTTTCTTTCACTTTTAAATTAATTATTTGAAGAATCCTAAATATTTTTGTAAGTATAAGTTTGAATAAAATATAGTAATGTTTTATTTATTTCTAATTTTGATATTTTATTTTTAATTTTACCTTTATTAATATTTATTTCAATGATTTCTATTTAAATTGTAAATGAAAAAAATAAAAATAATAGTTTTATTATACCTTTACTAACTTTATGTTATAATATCATAATTTTTTACAGAGGCAATTTTAGATAATTATAATATCTAAAATGTTAAAACATGTCTCAAATTAAAAGTTATTTAAGAAATTTTATTGTACTCATTAACTAACATTTTGCAATGCATATGTGTTTTGTTTAGAAATATTTAGATTTCTAATGCATTGCATGCTTGAGCATAGAAAATAATTTCTAAACTTCGAAATAACTAACATTACCACAATAATAAATGAAAAAAAATGGATATTATCCCAAAGAAGATAAATGCTACATTCATATTTAAAGTCATGTATTTTAGAATATTATATACTTTGCCTTAGAATTACTTTTACCTTGAAACTCTACTGGTCTTAAATTTACACAATTAATTTCTATAATATTTGAAACCTTATAAAAAATGCGCTTAACGTTTAAATAATATAAAATGTATTTATGACATAAATAACATCATAAATACAGACATCTATATTAAATATATTATATATACAGATGTTATGATAATATATTAAAAATAAAATATTATAAATCACTGACAATGTGATCAATTTTGACATAACCTGTTTTGCATTAACTTTTATAGTGTAATCTAAGTGAATACTAATTTCAGTACTATAACTACACAGTGTCCTATATACCTCGGAAAATATTGTATTATACCTTTAGTTCAAAGATTTTAAAAAATAAAGTAAAATAATTCTTTGTGGTTTTCATGTGATATTTTTACCATATTAATTAGATATTCAATTTGCTCTAGTTTGAATTTGGGTTTAGAGTTACAATGGAATTCTTGTTCGTTGTTTAATAAGTATTTGATGATATAAGGTTTATCTCTAAATTTATTGTAAAACAGTCCATTAATTTGACTTAACATTAAAGTTGAAGTTGATTTATTTGACATGTAAAAACAACTATGGCGTACAATTCAAAAAACATTTATTCTAAATTCTTATGTGTTTGTAACCCAGAAGAGTTAAATTATACAAAATTTAGATTAATTTAAAGTACAGAATCGATTTTAAAAAAATACAAAAATCACCGGCAGAAATAAATAAGAATATTATCTTTTTAATTTCAAGATAATAAATCCTCTTATAAGTAAACATGTGATTTTTATTCTTATTTATTCTAAAATTTAAAAACTTCAACTCTTTAGATCCAACTGAAGGATTAATTTATTTTGTGTAGGATATATTCTTATTTATTCATTTCTTATTATATGAAAGTACTATCTAGGCCAAACTATCTATTAGTTCCCTGAGCTTGTTAAAATCAAAAACCAATATTTAATCTTGTTTAGTTTGTTTAAAAGTATTTGATCTGCATGAAAAGTTTAACTCTTTTTGAAATTTGTGTAGAATTTGATCAAGCTGTATTGTTTCTCTAAGGTTCTTTTTATTCATATATATATATATATATATATAGATATATTTTCCATTTTTGTATTTTTTTTCTTTTGAGGAAAATATGTTATAAATGAGAAAATGTATATAAAATTTAAACTGTTTTATTTTCTACATGTACTTATAAAAGATAACGATACCAGTGTATATCACAAATTTTATCAAATTTATCATTAATTTGTTTCAAAAGATCGTCCATTCTTATTAAATGTATATATAATTCATTTTCTTACAATTACCATAGGAATATACACACAATATACAATAAGTAATGAGAGCCAGCAATAGTTATACAATAGTTGTGTGTTTTTATTAGAATATAACATATCACTAATAGTAATCAAAACTCCATTTCATGGAAATCTAACAAACAAAGTTTAAGCTGTTACCAATATTTATTATGTTTAATCATATTCCTTATAATACCCATCTAGAAATACCAAATATAACCTTAATGTTGATCTCAAATCTAAGCAAACATGATTATTTTTAAATTTTTTTTATTTAATATGTAAGTGTTTTTTTAGAAGTTCAAATTCCCACTTGGTGTAAAATAATTTGAGCTAGATGGTGAGCTCTTATGCATAGCCCAAACTAAACCTCTTTACTTCCTCTTTCAATCTTATTTATTTTACATAGATTTAAACAACAACACTCGTTTTTGTAAGGGGAAAAGTTAAGTAAGAATGTAACACGAATAATAATAATAAAAAAATAATAACAATAGACCATATTTTCTAAGTGCCAAATGTAAGAGAAATAAATGTCTAAAAATATATAAGTAAAAAAACTAAATTATAGTAAAAAAAAAAAAAAAAAATGAGGCTTCACAACTTGTGGGTGACGTGGAGTTGGTGCTTGCCAAGGTGTCACTTAGCCTTCATCATCGATAATAAAACACCAATAACATGCACAAAATGAAATAAAATAAAATATAAAATAATGACGGTTATAGGTCTCACGATCTCCGTGAACCCAAAGCCGGCCCCAGTCACCACCCTCAACCGCGGCCAAGGATTCGAGCATTGCTTACACTAATCTCATCGTGCTCGCATGGCTCACTTGCTTGCTTGCGTCGCAAGCACCGAATTCGTAATTAGATTTCGAAGATCGAAGCGGTGGTCTACTTCACGAGCAATTCGTTCTCTGACGGGCTGAGTTTGGATTCATCCAGTGAGAGTTTTGGTGATGAGCGGATTTTGGATGTTGGGTCGCAGGTGATGGATGCATGCTCCTGCTTGTTGTTGTTGTTGTTGCTGGATTGGTTTTCGCGTTTGCATTCGTGGAATGATCTATCGTTCCCAAGCAACGTGCAGAACACTGTAGTGCTGTTTTCAACCTTGCGGGCAACTCATCCTCGTGGTTTTTATCTATTGTTGCCTTTGTTAAGTTGGAGTTTGAATGGCTGACGTTTGAATGTGTTCGAGAGTGGAGTATTATTTTAGTGATTTGTCGAAGAAGTTCAAGTTCTTTGGCTTTGAGGGTCCGGTGATCGGACTTTAGGGTACAGAGGTTGAACTGAGTGATTGTGTGGATTTGGAATTCTCTGATGTGCGATAGAATTGAGAAAATGTTTTGAGATAAGAAGGTTGCATAATTTGTTGCATGTATGTTGGTTGTCTCATGGGGTTGTGATTTTGTTGTGCAGGTGAATTTTGGGAACTGAATTACACGGCCAGTTCACGAGATGGGATTGATTAAGAGCACTTTCCATTTTGCTGGAGGCGCTTTGGTCGGTATTTACGTGGCGCAGAATTACAATGTGCCGCAGGTCACTGGCCTTGTCAACACTGGCTTGGCTATTGCCAAGCATTTTGAGGAGCAGTATCGGAAGCCTTCGAATTCCAAGCCCGAGGACAAACCCTAATTACTTTCTTCAATTTCTCCTTAATCGATCTCTTCAGTATCCTGCGGGGAACATCCACGTTTCGGTACAGTGAGTTGCAAGAGGGCATCATCTGTTTCAGGAATAGTATAAGCCAGACTTTATTTCTGATTTGGATCAGTTGAGCTGAGTTTGAACAATAAATACAATGGGTTTTTGTGACTGCAAGACGCTAGCGACTTACTGGAGTTATGATGTAACTGGTAGAATTCTTTTAGAAAAGATTCTTCTGCTGCATTCCAATTTTCTAGAATAGGCTAGGGATTCCCAGTAGCCAAGTTACGGGATGGTTCTCAAACTAAGTGTTCGTAAACTTGGGGGTGCACTTCCAATGCTAGCAATGCTGCTGTTGCTAGTGTCTTGATTTCTATCAATTGCTCCAGATGTGTGAGATGATTTCCTTTGATCGAAATTTGGCCCATCGTTGTCTATCATCAAGTAAATTATCATTAACACGTTAAATGGTATCATTGAACATGTGCTTGGGTACTCAGAGCAATTCGATCATAACTAGTATGACCCTTTTACACACCTCTTCCAACGCCATAACAGAAAAAACCTGCCATTAAGACATCATGTAGATGCTCTACGAATCGCTTCATAAACTTTGTCCACGGTAAGTCCTTCCACAGTCACGAGCTTCTCTCTTGACCGTGAACCTGACCCTAACGACACTTGCCTCCTCTTGATACCCAGGACCTGCAAAAATCAAAGCCATGGATATTTAATCATGCTGGTGCAGTCTAAGCATGAAACGACGTCAAGCACCACTCGAATCAAAAGCCAGGATCCTTGGCATGACATGAGAAAATTGACTTGAATACGCTTCAAGGAGGATAGCCCTAAACTGCAAAAAGAGAGTCACCTCTGCGATATATTCTAATAATGCAGCGTTCGCCTCACCCTCTCGCGCAGGAGCATCAATCTGCACGCCTACAGCACCATCGTCCGTGTCTGGAAAGCAAGAGCAATCCTCATAAACTTATCAGGAAAACTTTACTGAAGTTATGGCACACATTTGACCGACATAGACAAGCACCTCTTGTTCGATCAACCTCAGAGTGAACAAAAAACAAAAGACAAAAAAAAACAGAAACAAACAAACAAACAAACAAACAAACAAATTGGGAGGTAAACCAGAAACGGCACCAGTGATGGCCGACAACTTGCTGCCAGGCTTGGCATGGACGGTAATGGCCACGGTTGAATCAGCGAGCGAGCGAATACATCCCGGTATGCGAGATTTCTCGGCAGTGGCAACGGCCTCTGGTTTCCCCGACGACGCTCCCTTCGATGGACGATTCATGGCCGACTTCAGTGCATGAAACTGCGATTTGGTTAGTGCGCTTTGCTTTCGACCAAAAACAAAACCCTAAACCAAATCAGAGTTTTGGGAGATGGAGACTATATACTTTCTGAAGCTTTACTTTATTTGATTAAAAAATAAGTTTGATGCAAATATATATTTATATATATATATATATAATGATGCCCTTCACAAAATAAATAATATATTCTAATTTATAAAAAACTACCTACAAAGTTTTGTCTACCACTCATTTTCTAAATTCTTCGTGTTAGATTTTGTGTCTTTTCAACAAAGAGGATGTGTGTTTGACATTTTTTGACCATCTTCAATTTTATAAAAGACTAGTTGCAACTGGTAAAGAATATTCAATCATTCGATGAATTTAAAAATTAGCACTTCCTTACAATTTTCTATCATGCTATACTCTTTAAAAGTAAATAAGAGTAAACAAATAGAATATTATGTAGATTTTTTTTTTTTCCTGTTTAATTACAATATTAAATGAAATCAAAACCTAAAAGAAATTAGGGGGTTAAAATTATACATTGGCAATTTAATTGAAAATGTTTACAAAGTGTTTTTTCTGTCCCATCATCTAGCAAAACTTATCTTTCTCAACATGCTCACTAGTTTAGAAATTCTGTTCATTAAGATAATGTTAAAATTTTCATCTTGAAGCATTACCAATTTAATTCTCGAAAAAAATAAAAAATACACTAAATAGAAAACAACCGACATAATTTGAGGTATTTTGCCATGTACGAGATATTCATTTATTTCTCGAGGTCTAAAAACATATAAAATAAAAAGTATAGTAAAAGTAAAAGTAAACATTATCATAAAAGTAAAATTGTAGTATATTTAAAAGTAAAGAGTAGTTTTAAATTCAAGATTCTTTGGGGCAGCGGGAAAGCGATTCCATGAGGTTCTGGAATACGAAGTTTCTCGTAGCCTTTCGGAGATTGTTCGAAACTTGAAGCAGGAACAAGGGCTGAGAAAAGATCAGAAGCACCGTGATCAACGCTGCCGAGTTTTTTTGACGAGTTTGCTCGGCAATGCACGCCGGAATGGAGAAGTAAGAGCTGAGTGAGTGCCTTGCAAGGGAAGGGAAGGGAAGAGAAGACAGGGTGATGACTAGAAAACAGGAGAGGGGGCACAGTCGAATGTTGTTCCGGGGCCAAGGGAGGTGTGCAAGCAACAAACGTATCGCTGCACAAGGATTTATCGTAAAAGGGGCCATGGAGCCCGACCTTGCCGCATCTCCGCAGCTGGAGGATCTATGAACAGCCAATGACCATCCTTTTTTCCAGAAAGCGTTGCCGCAGCCTGGTCCCACGCGGTCATGAAGCTCTCGCTCCTCTCGTTATTTGTTGCATCTATGCCTCGTTCTATTCCCTTCCAAGCATGTGTAAAGGCCCGCTACAGTACATCCTCTGATATTCCCTGTCACCAATTTCCCCCGCCACCAACTGCGTTCCTTCTCCGTCGAAAAAGATATTTGTGCGGAATAAGAGTTCCTGGAAGTCGCCACAATCGAAGCCGGGAACATACGTCTATTTCACAGAAGTTCTCCTTTAAAGCTGACAAGCAAACGCTGGAGTTTTTTCTGGTTTTAGTGTTTTGGTCTGGATTTCTGTGGTGTTGGTTGAACTCTTGCTAATATGAGTTCGGGTCGTTGCTCGTACATGTTTCATGTGCGTGACATGACTAGGTGACCTGCGCTGGTGATCCTGACTCACCGGTGTTCCAAATGGCCAGGTACTGAGTTCCTCGAGCTAATTTGGTTTTGATGTGTGAAAGACACGCTGCACGCCGAAAAAACGAGAGAATAACTTTTCAGAATCTAGAGTTCAGAGTTCAATGGCATTGAGGAACCGCTGTGAGTGCACGTGGAACCTTGCCTTTAGTTTAGTTCTTCGTAGATTATCTTCGCCACACCTGAACTTCTGCGAGAAAAGCCAAACTGAGATTTGACACAGTGTGTGGGGATTTCCCAGCCTTGTCTCGTGCGAAAGCTGGGGCATTGCGGCTTAAGTGACCTGTTGACACGAGCGAAGGCCTACGAAATTCTTTATCGCAAGTCTTCTATAATTTCGGTGTATCTAGCAGAAATCGTAGTGTGACGCATGGGTATAGTCTTTTTGTAGAACAATGATGGACACCTTCACTTGCCTGCATTACTAGTCACAGTCGCGTTTTTATTTATTTATTTATTTTTTTGGTTTTGGATTTTCTTCGGAAATATATATATATATTTGAATTGAATTTTACTGCGATTTGTAAGTGGAGTCCACACACGTTAGAGTGGAGGTGGCCAACCAAAAACCTGCATATTTTGTACTTATAAAGGAGTGAAGTCCCGGCTAAGGTGGCGTTTATCAGGTTTAGGCTATGTAGCATAACAATATTGAATTTTGTTTTAGTGAGGGAGCTTGCAGTCTGTTCTTTAATTGCAAGCGAACCATTGTATGGGCTGGCATGTTGTAAGTTTAGATTTTTCACCAGGTTCGTGCTATGGTTGATCTCAGTTGGTACAATTTGTGTAATGAGTAGTCCACAAGTCGGCTGAGATTTTGCTGAGGGTGAAGATTCGCTGTAAGATGTGTTGCATTGCATAATGAAATCCTTGTACATAATGATGCAGTATCATTACGCTCTCCCAACTTCTTAGAGTTCTCGAGAATTTTGAATATATTCTATTTTATTACATGTACGATGAGGCTTGCGTGTTTTACTGAGACGATTAAGTGTTGTAGATTTTTGCGTGAAGCCCTGATGAGGATAGTGGACGTCGATTAGTCGTTGGATGCAGCTAATTCACTTTCGAGGGTAACCTTTGGGCGTTATAGATTTGCTTCGGGCTGTCAATCCTCGACGATCATATGGTTGCTGCAGCTTTTCTTCCATCATGGTGCATTTTCGATAATTTTCGTAAGGAACAGGAACTGGAGTTTGGGTTGGTTGATGTGCATCGCCAACACGATCCTGAGTAGCTGTAGAGGAATTGGGTCCGTATGGAAGTTTGTGGTGGATGTCATAATTTGACATGGCAGCTGCACCGTCTACATGCAAATAAATTCATTTGAAAGGAATGGCGTTTGTACTTGGTGGTCAATCAACGAAAGAGCTTCTGTATCTTCAGGCTTGGACTCTACCTTAATGGACTAGCAGAGGCGCTACAGTTGTCCACCTGTTTCTTTGTGAACCCGAATCTAGTCTATCGAATGAATTCAGATACAGTGATGGCTTCTTTGGCACATTTCTCCTCGATCGCCTTGTCAGAAATGTTTGTCTCGACTTCATACATGTCGTTGGAACGTTGGTAATTGGCTACAAATTTTTTTGTGGCCTTGGTGTCAAACTTTCCTCCTTTTCAAAGCAAAGGGAACCCTAATGCTCGTCAGAATTCATGGAAGGGAGCAAGCAAGCAGGAACAATGACTGCAGGGGAAAGTAGCAGAAGTGAGCATATTCTGATACCGCAGAGCAATGCAGCTCTGTGCGAAGAATTCAATTACCGGTTAGGGAAAACCTTGGGGATTGGGGCTTTCAGCAAAGTCAAGTCTGCAATTCATATTCTTACTGGCCAGAAAGTTGCCATCAAAATTATCAACAAAGAGAAGATGAAGGATATGGAAGACAAAGGTCTGTTTCTTTGACTAATGTGTGTTGACTTTTGTTTTTCCCTAAATTCTGACTCACTTTTCTCACCTTCGATCCTAAAAATTCTGCATCTGCTTTACTTTTCCTGATCGCATATTGCAGTTAGGCGAGAGCTGAAGATTATGCAGATTGTCACGCATCCACATGTAGTACGTTTGTACGAAATTATTGAAACCTTTTCAGACATATATGTGGTTATGGAATACGTTGAATCCGGAGACCTGTTCGATTTCATTGTGCTTCATGGCCGTTTGCATGAAGATGATGCTCGTCATTTTTTTCAGCAGGTACAATGGTTTTTTATCATTTATCAAATTAGTCTGGTAACAGATCCAAGCAAGTATAACATAAAATAGATGTATCACTAACAACTAATCCTACGATATGTTCCTGCAAGATCTTGGGAATAGCACTTGTAGTCCTGCAACATGTGACCTTCAACTTGCCTCATGCTGCAGGAACGATGTCTAAATTGAATAATAATCGTGATCTAGTTCCTTGTACTTCACCAGAATTTTACTCCTGACAATTGAACTAATGTTTTTGTGTAATATCTTGTAGTTAATAGCAGGTGTGGAGTATTGTCATAGGAACAGGGTTGTACATAGGGACTTGAAACCTGAAAACTTGCTGCTGCATGCGAAGAGGCGGAGTGTTAAGATTGCAGATTTTGGACTAAGTAATGTTATGAACGATGGACATTTCCTCAAAACAAGTTGTGGAAGCCCCAATTATGCTGCTCCAGAAGTAATACAGCGAAAGTATTACGCAGGTCCTGAAGTTGACGTTTGGAGTTGCGGTGTGATATTATATGCTATGCTGTGTGGAATCCTGCCGTTCGATGATGAGAATATTTCCAGTTTATATCAGAAAATCACGGTATGATTGTATCACACTTTTTTAGTCTTGTTAACCACGTCTATAGACGAGCAAACTGCCACCAAAGACATCAGAGTATGTGCATTGGCGATGTTATATCATTGATGATGTAAATACATAAAGCTTATGAAACATACTTGCTTGTTTTCTGAATAGAGTCTTGTATCATTTGCTGTTATTAACCAATCAAGTGATTATTTTTTTGAAGAAAATTGGTTCAAACTCTGATCACGTCAATTTTGTAGGATGGTATTTATACTCTACCAAGTCACTTAACCTTCCAAGCTAGGGATCTGATCACTAAGATCTTGAAGACAGACCCTCTCACTCGAATCACCATACCCGAAATACGGTGTCATCCCTGGTTTCAGCTGCATCTTCCTCGCTATCTTGCTTTGGAGACTCCTCAATATATTAAAAGTTTGAAAGTTGTATGTGTAACTTCTTTTGGCTGGCCTCTATTTTGAAGAGTTACATTTCTTTTCAAGGTCACATGAACTTGTCGCTACTTTCGTACATGAAAGTAGGTTTGAATTCCTAGCATGATAGAGAGATTAGAAAGTTTGTGCTAAATGACTGCTGACAGATGCTTGTTCTTGTTATGAAATAGTTGATAGCTGAATGTATCAATGCAGATTGATGAAGATGTTTTAAATTTAGTTGAGAAAATCGGCTTCGACAAGGGTTGGCTGATAGATTGTCTTCAGAGGCGAGAGCATAATAAGGTGGCTTCAATACCTATTGTTGATTGTTGGCTCTTGTGGTGTCTGTTCAAGATTTGCTGTGATTTCGTGAAAATACTTGCTGGAGCATTTATCCCGGCCAGATGATATATCTGTGGGGTATGGCGTGGTGACTTGGGGCAGGCAACGGTGACTTACTACCTATTGCTAGACAGTCACCTATCTCACAACCCAGAGCATTACCTTGAAGGTAATCTTACTCTGAAGAACTGGTGAGCTACAGATTCTGAGTAGCAATGGGGCAAGGAGACACGCTTTATGTTTGATGAAGAAATCAAGTGCTCTTGTATTCATGGCGTCATTTAATGCGCAATTGTTTCTGGAGGTTGATCTGTGGGTATACTTGGTGAAATTTGTCATCTGAAGGTACCATGGAACTTTTGTAATGGAGTTATTCTACCTCAACTGTATAAATTTAGATTTGTGGTACATGATGGTTGGGAGTCTAGCACCTAGAGCCCCTAAAGAATAGTTCTATATGGGTACTGCCCTACTGAAATTTTCGCTATACAAATGAGGTTCATTCAATAGTGGGGTATCAATGTGATTAACTCTTGCACTTAGGGGATCAAATTGTAAGATTCTATAATTTTATGTGGAGGGCCCCGAATGGGTCAGTGGTATGTGGAGACCCCCGAACGTTGCGTATGTGTTAAAATTCATTCCACTTCTTCATAATATTTTGTAGAATAGCCAGGCCTCATTTCTGAAGGGTATTTAGTTCTTTTTAATATTTCTGTGAGGTTACTATTACTTCAGTCTCCTTTATTGACGAATTTTAGCTCATAATCTGAAAGTACAAAGTAGACTTCCAGAATTGCCTTAGTGGTTACACCTAGGCTTTAATTGCTTAAAATAAAATTTGTTCCGCAATCAAGGATTTTTAATCCTTTTCTTATCAACGCTGTGCTTTGGTGGCGAGTCCAATGATTGTAACATTGTTGCCAATATATTTTGCCCCATGTTTTTCTGTTTCGTAGTGATACCCTTGGCACAACAGCTACTTGTGGATTGTGATATCTGGTATTTTTCACCTTACGAGTGACTGAAGACGTTCTGCTGAAGCTGCTGTTCCGCTGTGGAGCAGACGATTAACGGTTTTTGAAGATGGATAACAGTATTCTGATATTTATATTTAACTAAGACGATAAACAAAATATATATCTGATCACTAAGAATGCGTTTGGTAGAAAATATCTGTGAAATCCACACATTAACTCTTGATCTTTAGTGGATTGTGGTATCTGGTATAAGCTGACAACAGAATAAGTTGGAGTTGGCACTTAGGGTGATCCTTAGACTAATGCATCCTGCACTGTGGAATCGGCCCGAGACTCAGCTGAAATTTGAATTGCCTAAAGATTCTAATAGCGGCTAACTCCGCTTCACCCTTAATATGCATCGTGCAAAGCGGGGGTTGGAATGTCGATCTTCATGTTAGTAAGTTTCTGTACATTGTTGCTGTACGTTTCTTTGATCTCTGCAAATACCTTCGTTAGGAAAGCAGGTCATTAAATCGAGTCTTCTTACATACGATGATCAGTTGCGTAGTTTTTATGTATAGTTTGAGTTTTCGTGCCCTGGTGTAGTCTGAAGTCCATTCTTGTGAGGTTTTGATGAAGGTATTAAAAAACTTTGCAAGACTGGAAAAACTTTGGGCCCTACTGCATCAGGTACAAAGTCCTTTTCAGATCCAGCACTGCAACTGAAAGCGTCTTTTGTCATCGCAACATCCTTGGACAAAAGCTCTGTTCGACTTGTTTGTTGTCTGCTCTCATCTATCTTTCTCGACCTTTACGCTTTCTTAGTCAACAGTATTTTGTAAAGTTAGTTTTTAGGCTACCATATAATGTTTTACGTCTTAGGCCACGTTTATATAACTTTTTCAAATATCTGATCGAATACACTCAGGATCTGGTATCTCTCACGAAATGTTAGACCGGGACTGATACCTCTGTGAGCAAATGTTATTCGCTTGGTAAAATGCCCATGAGAAAAAGGCATTGAAGAGAGAAGAGGAGCAAAAATCATGAAGGGTAATCGAAAAGGAAACTAAAGGGTATAAATTAGAATAGGATTAATCTTAGGTAGTCTCATCTGAACATACTTGGGCTGCTCCATGGATAATGAATAATCCACTTTATTTTTGGAAATTGCAAAGAAAACCAAAATTAATTTATTTTTGGATCAAAATAAGACTTTATTATTGATTTTTTTAAAATTTACAAGATAATAGTAATTGTTTTATATTCAAATTCTTTGAGCAAATAATTCTTCTTTGAGAGATATAGATTTGGTATCATTAAAGATATCTAATAAAAGTAATCAAGTTGCCTAAGAAGTACTTGTCTAAAGGATTTGTAAAAATTTGTTACTTGAATAGATCTAATTAATGTAGATCGTACAAGATTTTAGATAAAACAACAAATTCAATTTAAATAACAATACCATTGATTTTACTAGTCATGTTCCAATCATTATCAATTAATATACCAATTATATATTATTTTTATGTAGCAAAAAATACATCCATAAATATAGTCATCATATTAAAGATAATTTTATTAATGTAGCAATCAAATAAAAGAAGAACAAGCAGATGAAAGTTTTGCAAGGCTTTATTGTGATAAAATTGATAATATACATGTAAATAAGACATATCTTGATGTATTGGATTGTCTAGTATAATTGAAAATACCAAATCTTCAAAATAATATCTAATAAAATTGGCAAAGAAATTATACAAAAAATCATATATAATTTGAAGCTATTGTATTGTTGATTCTTTATTAAATAATTAAAGATATAATTCTCCAATGTAGTTTAAATCAAACACATTGCCATTTAAAATATAACACTACATGAGAGGTACTTGATATTTAATAAAAAACAACAAAAGATTTTTATTATAACAAAAGATTTCACCATCATTGTTATCAACCTATGGTTTGAAGATATTAAAAACATAATTATGCATTATATTTTTAATGTTGTTGGGATGAATTATTTTTCCCAATATTAACTTCAATAATTGATTTGTTCAAAAGAAATACAACATGCTTATTTTTGTCAAATGAGAATCCAAGAGGTTGACAAATAGAGTGTAAAAAATACAAAAGAATGATTCTTTGTTTGTATTGGATGTCAATTTTTGAGACTTTGTCTAGTTTTTTAAATATTTCTTTGATAAATGTAACTATAATTATAAATTTTAAATAAATTAAGATATTTGACATAGATTGTTGTTTTGTACTTGCACCAAATGTCTTCTTCTTTACAAAAGGCAATGCACAAAATAACAAGCAACAGTAGATATTTTGAAAAAAGCCATATCTTGACTTATCACCATTAATTCAAACTTCTTTGTATTCTTTGTATTAAATTCTTCTTTGCTTTGCTATAACATATTATTGAGTGCACCTCTATTTGCTTCATAAATGTATTAGAGATACTATGAATTTATAAGAATAAAGGCATAAAGAATTAAAAGTAAAAAATGAGATATATAAATTTAAATTAATAATAAAAAATATGAATAGCTATAAATAAATTATGATATTAAAGAAATGGTGGATATAATTGTATATACGACTTTACTGACTTGACTCCATATATAAGTTATTATAATAATTTGAAGAGATTTGGAAGCCAAATTATTTGTAAAATAAGTCACAACTACCTTTGAAAAATAAAAACATGGTGAATCCAATTCAATGTTATTTTTTTGATTTTTTTTGTTTAAATGGCTCTTTTATCAATTAATTTCAAATTAAAACATAAAAAAAGCCTATGGTCAAATTTATAACAACTGATTTCTTTACAATCTTTACTTGATCTTATCTATATCTTAAATGTAGTAATATTATTCTAAATCTAATATCAATGATTGCTACAAAGGTTTATTATTATCAGTATTCATGAGAGAATTTAAACAAAAATTAGATTTACTCACCAATTTGCATACATTGAGTTGACTTGAAAAGTTAGATCTAAGAAGTTATAGTAGAAAGAATATTTTTTTATCTCTAAATAAGACCTAACAATGTGCTAAAAGTATGGAAATAGTTCATGCAATGGTAACAATCATTAATTATTATTTGAATTATTAAAAATACAAAGTAATGTCACATTAAGAGCTATTGTAATTAGTCTAAATATTAGAAATATGACATTATGAATAAGTGGCTATATACTTTACTTAATAAGATTTTACTATATTTAGATAAATTTGTCTTATAACTTTTTTAGATGAAATGAGATCCAATACAAGTTTAGACTTTTGAAAGATATACTTAGAGATGCTACATTCTCGATAGAAGAGATAATCTTATTCTTTTCAAGAAGTAAGAAGAAAAGAACTTAGTGAAGACGAAATATTTTTTAGTGGTAAACAAATACAAAGATGATCTTATTTCTTGTTGGAATTTTTTTCATTAATAATATAAAGGCTATATATTGTTTAAATAATTAGTCATAAGAAGGGGCTACAACAAATTTTAATGAAAGAAGGTGGCATTGTCAAAGAATATATGAGAAGAGTAAATGAGTTGGTAGAACAACTTGTTGTCATTGGAGTTGATATCAACAATAAATACTTGATTTACTATTTGCTTTGTGGATTGTTTGTCAATTGGGATCCATTAATGATTATATCCTAGTTTAACATAGATTGTACTTTAGCTCCTACATAAGAAAAAATTGCAAAGAAAGTACAAACATAGAAGATGTTGTTGTATAATAACACAACTATATGGTGAAAGATAAAAAATGATATAGATTTTATTATAGAAGAGCCTTATAGAAAGATATAGTAGCAAAATAAGAATAAATGATAGGAAGGTAATAAAACATTTTAGTCCTATTGCTGCTTTTTTATAGAAAAGACTTCTACTTACTTTGTAGGGGCATAAATGAGCCAAATTAAAGTAGATGAGATAATTAATTAATATTAGCATGCTTAGGAGAGAATTAAGAATAGGTTGTAGCAAATATTATCTCAAAATATTAAGAATTGATACCCCAAAGAGGATGGGTTGTGAATTAGGATCAGAATTAGACACTAAGGCACAAAACTATGCATTGACAACAATTTCAGAGCTTTTTGATTAATCAAAGAGTAAAATTTGATAGCAAACTTATGAAAGGATTTTTGGGAGTTGATTTCATGTGATTTGAAGGCATATTGAGTTTTTGAGGACTTTTCAAAATGAGAGATGTACTCAGTAATTTTTGATTTTGAGAAATAAAATGAAGTTTATAAATTTTAGGATTTTGTGAATTTTGTAGCACATTTACAAATGCAAACTTGTGATGTTGTCATTGTATTTGATATTAATATGTTTGAAAAATTTGATATCAATCAAATATTTAGACTGAAGGATATAAGAATTTTATCAAGTTAGGATCTTAGACACTTAAAATTTAGGATTAGTACGGATTTTTGCAATCTTGCAAAATCCAACAATTGGATTGAAGAAAAAATTTATAAGGACTATTTGGATTTACAAATCTATACACTAGCCAATTTTTAAAGCAATTGAATAATTCAACAAAGAGAAATCACTACTGAAATTTCAATATTTAGATTGGAGAAGGGGAGACCCCAACATCTGAAAGATTTAAGAGCTTTTTTGTTCAATTGGTGAGTTCAATTTTCTTCAAATTTTATATGCATGTTAATTTTTAGTGGATTGAAGTGTTAGTAAAATTTTAAATAAGATCAAAAGTTTGATTAATATTTATTAAGATTTTAAAACAACCATAGGAATTTATTAAGATTTACTTAGAATTTTTTTGGAGTTATTTAAGATTTAATTAGAATTGGTTTATGATTTGATTAGTATTTAATTAAAATTTAATTATGATTTAATAAAGATTTAATGAGGATTTATTTAGAATTTGTTAGAGTCTCATTAGGATTTATTTAGGACTTATTTTGTATTTCTGTTTTTAGTATTTAAAGAATTCTTTGTTATTTTTTTAAGATTTATATTTTAGTATTTCTTTAAATTTTTCAATTATTTTTCTTTGAGATTTATTTATGACTTCTTTATGTTTCTTTATTAATTTTTAAAAAATTTCTTTTGGATTGGTTAAAATTTGATTAGATTTTTTTAATGATTAGCTAGAATTTATTCAAGATTCTATTAGACTTTGTAAGTTCTTATTGTTGCATTTTTTATTTACCTTCCATAGGTAGGTGCCAGATGTATTTTCAAGTAAGAATTTATATTATATTATATAGAAGCATGACAAAAAAAATCTTATACACTTTTTAAAGATACAATGAAAGTTTGAAGTGGTTCTCCGCTAATAAGATTTTCCAAGATAGAAATTGTAGAATCTTTTGTACATCTTTAATTCTATAATTTGAGAATTGTTTCTAATAATTTGAAAAAGATTAGAAAAAATGATCACTTTGGAAGTGAATGTGACTTATAAAAAAAAGATGAGCAAATTGTTCAACTTTAGATATATGCAGCTATCACAAGAGGACTTAAAAGTCATAGACATATGACTAAAGTTGATAAGAAGTTAGAAAAAAAATCTACTAATAATTTTTTTAAAGACAAATAGGTTATCAAAGTGAATTTTATAAAAATAGATACTTATGGCCATGATTACTTCATAGATTTAAACTACATTGAAAATGCTAGCAAATATAGGATTAAGTTTTTTAATTTAGCTTTTAATTCTTTAAGTCGTGCTATTTCAATAACAAATAATAGAAGACTAATTATTTTTGGAAAAAGGTTTGTAAACATTTCAAATAATAAAATACTCAAGTACATTCTTTATATGTTTTATTTGTATGAAAGCTTGATTTTTGTAGGTCAATTCATTAATAGTAGCTATACTTTGAAATTCAATTCAAAATGCTACACAATATATGATAGCGAAAATCCTAGTAAGTCAATCTTATATGCAATTTGTGACCATAAGAATAGACTCTATTGCATCATATTCTTTGATATAACTATATTGAGTTTTAATACTAAAGCTCACTCTTCAACTCAATTCTACTACACTAATGTTATTGATTCAACTCTTTTAGTGACTATAGAGCAATTTGATTTTATTAAATTGTTGCATAAGTAGTTGAATCATCAAATGATTTCAAACATGTATCATATAAACCTAACAAAAGAGCTACCGCAATATCCACAAATAAAATACACTTGCCAAATGTGTATTCTTATCAAACACCATTAGAAAAAAATCCCTTAAGCTTTAACTACTCAATAAACTTAGCCTCTCAAATTGATTCCTTTATATTTGTGTAAGCCATTGCATAATAATAAAAAGCTAAATATATTCTTATACTTATCAATGACTTCTTAAGATATATCTAAATCTACTTCCTATAATTTAAAAGTAGAATATTCTCTTATTTTAAATAATTTATTTAGATAATTGAAAAATAGTGATTTCTTAGTGTTTCATGCCTTAGGTTTGATTGAGGCTGAAAAAACGTGTTTTTTTCTTTCCTTGCTTACTGCTATTCTAAAAAGATCTATCATCAATTAACCACAATACATTCTCTTCATTAGAATGAAATAACAAAAGAAAAAAATCGAGTACTGCTTGAAGCAACTTTCAATATTTTCATGAATGCTAATATTTCCATTGCTCTCTAGCCTAGAAAAATTAAAATATCTAATTATATTTTTAATAAATATAAAACTAAATCTTTAAATTTTTTTTATATCTTTTGAATTTTTTGAAAAAAGAATATTATATTGCTAATTTTAAAATACTTGGTTGAAGTACTTATGTTCATATATTTTATGCATTTTAAACAAAATTTCGATCTAAGTCATTTATTACTACTTTATTAGACTGTAAAGAAAATTCAAAAGCATATTGGTGTAATGATCCATATTCTAAAAAAAACTATATATCTTATAGTATTTTTTGAGAATGTCACAAGACTTATAAATTTAATTAGAAAGAAAATATCAATTCAAATTTTGGAGTTTGAGACTTTTGTTGGTGAGGCACTAGTGATGGATCTCAATGGTGCTTCTTCTATGACATTCACTCGGTTAATTCAAATTAAACTGATGCCAATAAAAAGATCACACTATTTTTATCAATTCTTTATTAAATTAAGAAAAAATGACTTATTTTATTTTACAATCTAATTAGATATTTTTTAAATATTTATTATGGAAATATCAAATCCTACCAAAGATGACATTAATACAATAGATGTTTTCAAACATCCATACTAGAAAAAAAAACTATGCAAGAAGAAATAGACTCTTTAATCTAAAAACAATACTTATGAGTTGGTGGAATTGCATATAAGAAAGAAGAAATCATTTGGAAAATAGGTCTTTAAGTCAAAACCTATCTTATATTTTGTACACCTTCAATTGAAGACTAGATTAGTAATAAGAAGCTTAAAAAAAGGCATAGAATTGATTTTAACAAGATCTTTGCACTGGTAGTGAAATAATCAACTTTGAGGACTATTATAACATTTGCAATATTATTAGGCTAGAACTTACATCACATGAATGTAGTCACAATGTTTTAAAATGAGACCTTTAAAGATCTCATTTACATGCAATATTTTATTAAATTTGAAAAAAGTAGGAAAAATATCTTTAATTTGCAAAGTCAAGCACTCAACTTATGAATTGAAACAATCATCTATAATATAATATAAATAAATCAATGGTTATCTAAGGAGCTTGGGATAGATCAATAGCTTTGTAAATCTTAATTTCTATTTTTTCAAGAGAGACTAAGAATTGATAATTACAATGCTTTATGTACATGACCTTCTTGATATAGATAATAATCCAAAGTAGATAAGAAAAGTGAAGCTTTATCTTAAAGAAAAATATAAAATAAAGGATTTGGTCTTGATCCAAAAATAACTTAGCATTGAATTTTATAGCATCTCAAAGGCAATGTTTATTCACCAATGTACTTATTACTGCCAATTGATCAAAGAATTTGGAATAGAAGATTCACACCCTAGGCTAACACCACTACTAGAAAGATATATTTTTTAATAGATGCAAACATAGAAAAGATGGATGTGATATATTAGTGTTATGCATTTTATAAGCTAATCTTTTTTATGTATATTTATTCAAATATAGCAAAAACTACAAAATAAAAAACTTATAGTAGATGTATGAAAAAACTACAAAATAATTCTAGGAGTTAATTTTGTACATTTTGTAAATTTAATAATAACATTTACACCAATAGAGTTGGACATTCATTTGAAATATGACGATTAAGGCTCTATAAAGATTGCAAAGAATCTTTTATTTTTATTTTTTTTAATTTTAAGACAAAATACATTAAGACAATAGTATGAATAGATACTATCATACTATTGACCTCATTCCTTCACTAAATTGAGTTTTTGCCAAACATTTTATATGTCATGTTCAGCAGTTCTTATTAATAATGAGCTAATTCTTGTTAGTTCAATCATGTTGAGTTTACTTCATCCGTGCAATCACCTTCTTTGCAATCAATGCCATGAACTGTGAAGGATTATTGAGTATATTATTCTACATAACTATATTATAACTATTTAATTGGTATTAAAGTTTAAATTATAAATATGCATATTATTTGAAATTCTCTAAAAAAGCGTATTATAAATCAATAGAAAATTATTCATTTATATAAATTTTTTTTATCTGATTTCTATATATTAAAACACACAAATATCAAGTACTTGTTACAAATGATTGTTAATTTAGTGCTCTCTCTCTCTCTCTCTATATATATATATATATATATATGTATATATGTATAGCCTTATACCATGTAAGAAGGATGATTGTCTTTGTAAAAATAACATTTTTGATGATGGACCAATTAAAAAGAAAAAGATGGTTTATGACATTTCAGCTGATACCAACAAAAACCAGTTATGAATGACTTAAAGAGACGAATCAATTTTGGGTTCAATTTTATGCTTCAATTTTTAAAATCTTTTTACTCCTCAGTCTATTCTTATTTGAAATGTAATTGCTACAAAACGATATCTTGTTAAAAATCCTGCTTACGTGGTCATCATCATATATAAACTAATAACAAAACTATAATATAATACAAAAATAACATTGCCAATTTCAAGTATGACATGAGTTTTGTATAGTAATCGTATTTATTGAGTTTCATTGGATACAGAGCCGAAAAAAAATGATGCAGAAAAGCTAATAATAATAATAATAATAATAAAAAGAAATGGTAAGAACTGGACAATTTGATGGCTGCTCAAATTATGGCACTGGTATGTTCGATTCCAAGAGCAGGTGTGAAAAGGGTTCCTCAATCCCCAAACTGACCCGAGGTGGAACGGTCGACCCGAACCTAGGTTCTAGGTTCGGAAACTTTCCAGACCTAAGCCGAGGAAGTCTCTTCAGCAATTTTAGGGTTTAAGTCTCTGGAGCAAGTGAGAAGCTCTTTCCCCGCCTCGTTTTCTCTTCTTCCTCTCGCTCGTCCCAGTTGTGTGCAGCAGGGTCCGTCACACTCTGCAGCGGCAACAATGCCGGCTGGTCATGGGTTGCGATCTCGCACGAGGGACCTGTTCTCCAGACCCTTCAGGCACAAGGGTTACATCCCCTTGACCACCTACCTGCGTACCTTCAAGGTTGGCCAGTATGTGGATATTAAGGTGAACGGTGCTGTCCACAAGGGTATGCCTCACAAGTTCTACCACGGACGCACCGGCATCGTCTGGAACGTCACCAAGCGCGCCGTTGGTGTCGTGATGAACAAGCAGGTATGGTCTCTTTGTACCTCTTCGGCTGTCGTCTACTTTTGGAGATGTCTGTCTGGCTTAATGACTTTCGTCTGTGGGTGCGTCTTCGCCACTATTCTCGATCCTTCTGCTGTCAACATTGTGTCTCCAATGTCTTTGGAGACCGGGATACTTCTTTTCGAAATATGGAGAGTGTATCGTTACCATATAGTTGTCGCTTCGACCGTTAGGGTTTTTTCTTGGGAGTGATTTTTGCTGATTTGCAATTATGCTTTCGAAACCAAGGTAGGTTTTGATGATTTTCCCCTCCTTGAATATCCACCGTCGTCTCAATCTTTGGGATATAAGTTCTATTTTCCATGTGAACATGTTATGATTTGATTGCTGGTGTTACTAATTTTTTTTGCGGACGGATGGATTTTATTCACATTGGTCGTGAAGCACCCTGATAAACTGCTTGCGACACAGATTCTGGGCTGTCACCTTCACATTTATAACATACGGATAATTTTGATTTAGACTGTAGAGTGAGGGTGCGAATCGGGATCATTGATAAAAATCTATCACAGATACCTGCAGTTTATCTTCACAGGTTTCTTCATTGGGGATGTCTATATTTTGAAACACACTTGGACTCACTGTAATGAGTTAGATCTTTCCATTTTGATATCATTTCGCCATTCGTTTAGAATCTCCGTACTGTGACGTATTAGATGAGTATGCAACATCGGCTCGTCTATGGATTAGAGAATCCTACCTGTTCGAGACCGAGGTCTACAGGTAATGTAGCTTACGTAATGTTTGATTTTGTACAGGTTGGAAACAGGATCATCCAGAAGCGTCTGCACGTTCGAATTGAGCACGTGCAGCCCTCTCGTTGCAGGGAAGAGTTTCTCGAGCGCCGCAAGAGCAATGACATCAAGAAAGCTGAGGCTAAGGCTAGAGGCGAGACAGTTGACCTCAAGCGGCAGCCTGCTGGTCCCAGGGCTGGATTCGTCCTTGACTCCTCCACCCTAGAGACCGTGACTCCCATTCCTTACGATGTCGTCAACGACCTCAAGGGAGGATACTAAGTCTTGTCTCTTAGCTTTACTGTGGTCGAACGTGGTTGTATCTCAACCTTTTGAATACATGGTTTCGACCAAGTTTCACTCCTCAAGCACGTCTAAAAGACAATGTTATCTGGTTTCAGGATTTCCTGGATTTTGTGCGTGCACTGAAACGCCAAGTGATTGTTGCAGTAGCTTTGCTTTCACAGATCTAAATGTAATACCGCTGCATTCATCATTCAAGTCAGTACTCAACCACACCCATTCCAGCTGTTTGGATCACCACCTTTGAGACTAGTTGATAACTTCAACATTGTAACGCTCAGAATCCGTACTATAGAACAACGCTTTTTGCTCCAGTCATGTAGTCTTTACGCTTAAATCAACGCCTGTGTGCTAGTGATGATCTGGCAAGTAGGGTCTAAAAAACCAATCAATGTGGGAAAATTGAGAGTTCAAAACCCTGTACCACCTTCAGGGTGGAGTGGGTCATGCTTCAGTGATATTACAGAATACTAGTATTTTGAGAAATTGAACCTGTAGTCACCGTGATCGATTTTGGGATCGTTGCTTCCCATGCGACCGAATCAGCAAACGTGATGCTGCGTAGAGCAGTTGAGCGCTCTAGAAAACTATTTTTAGATAGTTCGTAAAATGCCAAAAATATATTTCGAGTTACCACCTCCACTGAAAGCAAATATATAATCATTCATTAGTAATGTCAATAAGTACTAGATTGCGTTCGTTGACATATGATTCAGATACTACTGTAGTCAATTTCTCAAACACAGGTTATACATATGTATATATATGTTCTAAAAATAAAATTGAAGTTACGTGTCTTCACATGATTACTAAAAATATATGGAAATATTGCAATATGAATTATATATCTTTGTAAACTATAGAGGATAAAAACAAATTAATATACAAGACTTTAATCTAGATGTTCGCATCACATTTGTGAATTTTCTCACATTATTTCCTCACATTATATATTATATACTTTCACATTAATTTAGTCAGGTCTTTTTCCATATATACTTATTTTTTCCTTTATTTTTCACTTTTTCAAGTGTTGATGTTAATATCCTATTATTAATATTTTCGAATATTATTTGACATTTATATGTCAGAAAGTGCTATACAATAATAGTTACTAATATTACAGTTGTAGTCCATAATCTGCATAATGGTAATGACCTCTATTGAACCAAATTTGAAACCCATTACACATGCATGTGTTTCACAAACACAACATATATGCCATAAGTATCATTTACACATCAGCATGATAAGAATACACACATATATAAACACACATATATACTCTTCTGTACATCTATACAGAGATGAATGCTTTTAATACCAAAATTTATTTATATTTTCAAAATGGGCAAAGTAATGACTACTTCGAATCAATGATTTCACAATAAAGTACAACCGGGAGTGTTAACTTAGATTTGCTTAGGAAGAATGATGTAAGTCAGTTCATTTGCTGCTGGTTTGTCAGAGCAGCATTAGAAACCTGCTAAGGTTATAACTATCACTAGTAAGTAATCGGCATTAAGTAGCATCCATCTCCACACCTAGGAACTCAACTACATATAAACATTTGATCACCAACGATGACGTTTCTTGTACTGGAATATACAAATTAAAAAGAAAAGAGAGTACAAAGGTACAGGACTCAAGGGTGCCTATTTAAATCATTGTGATACTCAAATCAACATTCCTGCATGTGATTCGCAAATCTATGTACACTTCGCAATCCTCAAGCTTGGCCCTACCCAGAAAAGTGGGTGGGTCACTGTGCTTGGTTGCACGACAATGAGTTCAAAGCTCTGGAATTACAATTACTGATCTAACAGGACACCTCTGTGGGCTGAATCCTATTCCGAAAAACTGTCGCTGATACGAAATTTTCTTGAATAATATGTCAAGTTTCATGCTCTCCGGACAGCGAAAATTGTACACTGGAGGGAAACAATGGATCAGAGCAATCCTCAGAAATAATGAAAAAAGTTCAAGGGGCAAAGCAACTCGTTCTCTACGATTTTGACTTCTTCTTGATCGCTACTTTTGCGAGAAAGTCGTCATCACTATCACTTTCAAAGCATTCCCTCTTTCTCTTGCCCTTCGATGAAGAGCCTCCCTCTTTACTCTTGCCATTTGAAACAGGAATAGATTTCTTTACTCCCGGAGATCCATTAGATAATCGCGAAGGAATGGAAAACTTGCTTATCGTGCCATGCTTTGAAGACTGCCCTTTTTTCTGCTTGCGCTCGAACGCCTTCTGAGCCTCATCGTGAAGAAGCAACCCATGCTCCATCAACCTTCACAAAAGATGCCTTTAGATATGAGAAACATTCAACCCTAACCTAAGATCAGGTTGAGGTAAACAGAAGTAAGATCTAGAAAACTACTCCAAATTAATGATCAACTCTAAGTTTAACCAAGAGCGGAATTCTGCAACCAGGTAGCAATGACAAAAATCAAGCAGGAGATGCACACCGACTTTTGAACATAGAGGTTGACATTGCAACTTTGATATTAGGAAGTTACAACACAAATATTTTTCACCAAATAATCTCGAAAGGATATTAAGAACAGGGATAATGATTATTTCGAAGACTTAAAATTGAATGAATAAGAAGACCCACCAGATTTCAGCCATCTCGCTTTCAGGAATCTGTTCCCGAAGAGTGGAATAAAAGACCCTCAGAGCGTCCCTCTGCAAACAACCATCACCACTACGAAAATTACAACCCCGATATGAAGATCACTCGAAAGGATCAACTCCTGCGTAATGTCAGCGTCGTTTTGTAATGTCCAAGTTATGCACAGATGATACTTTAACAAATCAAGCCACAGATGCTTTTACAAAATTTCTGTGATCATTCAAATAGGTCTACAATGCTGTTCCCCAGTTCGTCTATGCTTGGTGCTAAGATCCATCAATAAAATGTAGCTTATCACCCTTACCAATATGAATTCTAGAATAGATGCTACGACGAATTGGTGACAACAATACTTACAGGTAGAAACGGAAGAAGCACAAATTATACGAAAATAAAATCCCCTCAGTACAAAAAAACTTTACAACACAACTGGTGAATTAAAATATATGGAAGTTCAGTAGACACCTCTTCTGGAGGCTCATGTTTCTGTCCTGGCAAGTCGTACACTTTCTTCTCTTTTCTCTGCTCCACCAGGGACTTTGTGGTTGTCACAGTCGTCGTTGTAACCTTCCTCTTTATCACACTTGATGATGCCCCTGCCTGCAACATTCATTTAATCATCAACCCATAGTTAAATCAAATCATAAGCGTAGTAAGAAGTCAATAAGAATAACAAGAACAATAATGACAACAATCATCATCATCATTCTAAAACGCTTCAATTCGAGTTACAAAAATATGTACAAATAGTGTCTGTAGGCTTCACGTGCGCGAAATGAAGATGAGATTTTTGTTTTAACTTTCAAATGAGATTACATTTGTTGATTTCGGTGTCACTTTTGGATTACTCGCTGACCTCACTTGTGTTTCCACAACAGAGACCTTCCTTTTTTCTCTCTCTCTTTCCCGGTCCTTGATTTCATTTTTCGGCTTTATGAGATCCCTAACCCCTCCAGAAACTTTTCCATTCCCCATGACCGACTCCTTTATGATCTGTTCCTTCCCATTCACCTTTCCCGCATTTTTACCGACGCTCTTCCCCAGTTCCTCGCCATTTACATTTCCATCCTTCTTGCTCAACACCTTTATTTCCTTGCTCGACACCTTGACCAGTGACTTCGCCTCAATCTTCACCGACGCTCTATCCTCCTGCTTCACCGAGACCTTTCCCTCTTTGCCAGCTACTCTTCCCTCCTGATCTCTGGCGCCGCCCTTTGAAAATTCTTTCCCGACCTTCACTAGATTTGTTCCTATGTTGCTCCTCACTTGGTCTCTGTTACCACTGTCTTTTCGATCGAGAATACCCTTCTCTTTCCTGTCTGAAGTCTCTGCAGAGGGCCTTTTTAAAGCGGACTTCAAGAGATCCGGCTCCCCAGAATTTCCCGATTCCTTCCTCACTTTCACTGATTGAGTCTTTGGTTTCTCTTCTGCCATTGTTAATTTATCCTCTCCACGACCTTTTACCGTGCAGGTCGTTGAGAGAGAGTCACGTCTCCTTTCTAGCTCTTCTCGTAAAAAAACTGAACAGCAAATTAAATTAGTCTTGACCTGAACATATATACTCGAGTCCTCCTCTTATCAGTCACAGCTAGTAAAAAAAGTGCAATGTAGATGCATCTTGAACATCAAACATATCTAAAGTTAAGCAGTATAAAAAGTGAGAATACTCTACGAGGGAGTTTTACATCATCATCCGAGAAGCAGTGCAAAAGCTAACAGCCTACTCTAGAGGTCTAAGGACATAATCTTCCACTCTACTGAGTTTGAATGAGGTGTCAAACCCTCAAGTTAGTGAGCTATTTCTCACCACGACGAGAAAGCCCTAGTTGAAGGGAACAGGGCAGAGGAACCTAAAACATAAACTCTGTGGAATGGTGGAAAAATCAGTAACCATAATTCCCTGAGAAAATGCTACAAACAGCCTACAAGTGTCAATAAATTGCACTCGAGGGCTGAAAATTATACAACATGCCAGAGGTGGTTATACATGTTCAGCAGAGTTTCTTTGCAAATCACGAGACATGCTAAGCTAACGAGCTTCCAGCATGATGTACCTTAGGTTCCTTCAAGAAATTGAATTAAAATTAAAAAAACTAAAAACTAAACTAAAAAATTAATAAAAGCACGCGCCACACCAAATAGGTCTAAGCATTCCGCACAGAATGCAAGCCTCCAAAGCACGTAATTCATCCGACACCTCAAAAACTCCCTCCGAAAACCTCCATCCACTCGCAGCTACCCGGAAAAATCAATCAATCAACCAATCAATTAATCAAATAAAAAACAAAAACAGAAATCGAGAGCATTACACAAAGAGTTAAGCTGGCCTACCTTCTCACAGTTACGTCTCCAGGATACTCCACCATGGCATCTCGAAGCCTGTCGGCACTCAAACTCCGGCAGAATGCAGAAAGAATTTCGAACAAATAACTTCTGCCCGCTCGCTGCTGGTGCTCTCTTTCTCTTCAAACTGTGCTATCTATGCAAGACGAACTCGCGCAGAAAAATCGTTCTAGAGGGCAGAAGGCGAGTTATGAGAGCGGTGCGTGTGCACCGAAGCGGCGATTGTGGCAGCGATGGCGCAGAATCGAGCAGCCAAACGAAGCGCCCTTTCCCATCTCTCGTCTTTCTTTCTTGCGACTCTGCGTTCAAGGCCATGACGAATGAATGAAACGGAGCCCCTTTGCTTTGTTCATCGAACGAATGTCTCTGTTCGTTTCGTGCAGTTCATCTCTTTCATACCTTGCATAAAAGCCTGATGACCTCATTAAGAAAACTAAAAACATTTTCTAAAACATTTTAGTATGTAGGTATATATATATATATATATATATATATAAATAAATAAATAAATAAAGGGAATTTTTAAAGTTATCCAAGCATTTACTAAATCAATCCATCATCATTAGTTGAAGATCCAATATATATATATATATATATATATATATATGTTTTTTAATTTTTTTTTAATTGGTTTTTGACCAATGGGGATTTGGGAGTCGAGAATTATTTTTGATGATGGTTCAGATGGATGGGTTTGATCACTTTAAAAATTTCCTATATACATACATATACATACATACATACATACATACATACATATACATATATATACATATATACATATACATATACATATATGCATACATATATATATGTGTAGATATAGAATTGAAGCCTTTTGATTTGCTTAAGGAATAACATTGCAATTTCTCAATGTATTTTCTATATTTTTAGATATATGTCTCATTTAAATTAAGCCCATGAATTAGGTATTTATAGTAATATTTTCTATTATTTTATCCATACATAGTTACCAACTTTCTCTTTAAAAATGAATATAGAATTAACTAAATATATCTAAGATCTTTTAGATATATTTATACATACTACTATTATTAACATATAACTAACATTGAAGTTTCTTATTTTATTTTAGAAATAATGTGTTAAGATAATAGCATCCTAAATGTTTATGGAGAAGAAAAAAATTATTTTTTATGAAAGTTTTGATATGCATTATAATAATATTGAAATAAATAAATAAATAAATAAATAAATAAATAAATAAATAAATAAATAATATTATATATTTCTTGCAAAGTAGACAACATACACTATAGTTAAAGACTACAAGATGTGGCTCTTGGTGTCAACAAGACCTTTTAATATAGGACATTGGAAACTTTTTTCTACATTGTATGGTATAAGACATAACTTATTCTACTTTGTCATATATCAAACTTAATATAAGATACAAATGACTTTAAATGGAGAATGCAAATATGAATAGAGTTACATGAGAAGAACAACTTGGCATTTAAGCTTAATAATCATTTTTTATTTTTTATTTTTATTTATTTATTTTTTATCTCAAAATTACCATCTTAAAATTATGAATTCAAAAAATATTTTCTTATTCTTATAATATATGATACAATTTTTGATGATTTCATGTAAAAGGTCTCACTTTAAAAAAAACTATTTTTCATTAAAAGACTTTAACATCAATCTTAGATGATAAGCTTCTCTCTATTTTTATTATTTATTGATACATTTAAGTAAGATGCAAATTAATTGAAGATTTTGAATAAATTCATAATTAAATAGAAATATGAAAAAAATATAATATCTTTTGGATAAGTAAAATTATATATAAATTTAAATAATTTACAAATGAATAAATAGATGAACATATGAATAGATATATTAATACATCATGCAATTAGTACTACTAATAACATTTTATTTTTTATTTGATAATATCCATATCTACTCTAATCAAATGATAAAACCTTCAGAATTATGAAAATAATCTATTTAGCATATTTTAATACATGCTACATTATAAAATTATTAATGCAATCATTTTCTTTCCTTTTTGCATTCTCTAATGTATTTCAACAATACATATTTTCTAGTATGATTTATTTATTGGTATATGTAAATTTATTAATACAATATATAAATTTGAAGAGTCTTGTAGGACTCAGAATCACAATCCAACATTGTATCATAGACATACATATTTATCTAGGTAAGAAGTGTTAAGTAGAAGGTAATAAATAGATTTGATAATATCTTTTGGTAAAAGCTTCTTAGAAGCATCATAGACATGTATTTGACTTTATATGTATTTGTAGTTAATTGCTAGGATAGAAACTTAGCCAAAAAATTAGCCACGTATCACATGTATTAGTAGCTTGTGATACAAGCAAATCATGTGGTGGATATATAAGAAACTTGTCTTATAAGTTAGATACATATCAGAGGTCTTATAGAACATTGCCACATATTTTCTAATTAGTTAGTAAATATAGAAGCAAGAGTGAAGCTTTCTTCACTCTCATCAATGCTTTTTTTATTCTGTCTTATTTTAAGAGATTCTAATTTTCTTGTCTTTGATAAAAATCATTATAGTTTAATATTATACTATTTTTGAGTAATTATCTAGTCTTGTTAAGTAACACAAGAGTCTATTGATCTTTGACTCTTTGAGATTCATGTCCTTGATATGCTATTGCAATATTCTTCATATGTAGATTGCAGGCAGAGCCAAAAAATTAGCCAAAACACGTTTATAAAATAAATGTTAATAGTACAATTATCATGAATTAGTGGATGTATTACATATTGCTACTCTACATTATTCAATAAATTCTAACTAAACTATAACCATTGAATATATATGAGACCAATCCACAAATTGTTGATATTTTTATAATATTATATACTTTGAGAATGAGTAGATTACATTATGCATTAAGTGTGAGTGTCAAATATGAGTGCATTTAATACTACTATCTCTTATTAGATCTCTTGAACTTGTGTCTTATATAAATAATTGTGTAAACACTTCATTTTTGCAATGAAAAAGTAGTAAATGGCTCATAAAGAAAACAAGAAATTCACACTTTTTGATTGAATATATTGAAAGATTGAGTAGAGTGGTTTTTTAAGATAATCAATTAAAATATCTTTACTTCCAGATGAATTGTTGTTTCTTTTGGTAAGAACTACTGATTTCTAAGGAAGGTATAAATTAAAAGATGGAAAGTACAAAAAAAATTTGTTAGAAAAATATATAATCAGCTTAAAGGATAAGTTGTACAGTATTGTATTTACTATTTTTTGGATTTTTTGGTTCATTGTGTGTTCTTAAAATATTTTCAAAATAAATATTTGACAAAATTGGATAAGTATGATGATATGAGATTATCCAACTATTTGTTGATTAAATCTAGACGAATAATTTAAAGTATTCTATTTTTTGTGGCACCATAATAATTATATCATAGAACTTTATGTTCTACTTGTGGTAATGTCAAGCCTATTACTCATCCTCCTTCCTAAACTATTATTAAATTTATTTCATTAAAATATTTATTATTTTATTATGTAAAAATTAATTTGAAAACACATTAGGCATCTAGCTTTAGAAGATAAATTCTACTTGCAACAAACAAAGAATCAAAAAGTCTTAATAAAATTTTACATAAATGTTAATTAAATATTATTAAATATATTCAAATTTAATAATATATTTAATAAATTTAATAATATATTTAATAATATAATCAAATTTTAAAGAATCTTAAAAAAATTCTAAAAGAATCATTAAATTATTAAAAACAAAGCATCAGAGAAATTATAGAGCAATTGTAAATAAATCCTTTAAAAAAAACTCTATAAAACCATAAAGAAATCCAAAAAATAAACCTCTAAAAAAATTCTATAAAATAATTATAAAGTAATTATAAAAGTTTTTTAAAGAATTTTGAAAAAAACCATAAAAATATATTAATAAAATCCCAATAAGACTCTAAAGATATCCTATAAGTTTTAATGAAACTTTAATTAAAACCTGATTAATCTTAATTAATTCTAATCAATCTTATCACTATCTTAAAACCTCAATAATTATTCATTAAAGCATTGATCTTACTTAATATTTCATAAAATATTTAATCTAAAATTTAACAATAACTACAATAATCTAAAAAAAATCAAATTTATGAATTTAGAGAATAAACTTATTAATTTCTTGGATGTTGATAATCTTACTTCTCTAACCTTGATATTGATCTTTCAACAATAATTACTCCTTATTGAATTATTTACTTTTAATTAAATTTAAAATTATTTTTTATACTAAATTCACAACTTGCTTACAAAAAAATCCTTTAATCCAAATTATAAATTATTTAAGATCAAAGAAACATTTATTAATCCTTGCAATTCAAATTTGAAAAATTTAATTCAATTAGATTTTAATAACATTTGATCTAACTATTAGATTGATTTTAAATTTATAATATAAATTTAAGACAAGTAAAGACATAAGCCTAAAAATATTTATCCATCAATATGCTAGAAAGTTCATTGAATTTTCAAATATATGAACTATCTTTTATTTCTCAAAAATCCAAACTATTTAAAATACGTCTAATTTTGAAAAGCTCTAAAAAATTCATTATTAAACCAAATCAATTTAAATAACTGATCAACCAAATTCTTACAAGAATTTTCTCTAATCTTGCTCTTTAATCAGCAAAAATATCTAAAATTTGTCATAAAATCATGATTTTGTGCCTTATAGTCTAATTGTAATTTAAGTTTATTACTAATCCTCTTTACATATCAATATCTAATTTTTTAAAGTAAATTTTATTAGAAGCAATTATTTATTTCTACTTCAAGATATTGTCATGGATATATACTTATTGCAATTATCAATTAGGTAATATAAATAAGTAGAAGTAGATTAAAGTAGATTAATTTCATAATATCTTCTAAGAAAGATTTCTAAAAGCTTTTTAGATGTTGCTTTGATTTTACATGTGTTTGTAGTTGATTGGTACATTAAAAACTTGGTCAACAAGTTAATCATATGCCATACGAGTTGATAGTTTAAAAAACAAGCTATCTATGTGGCTCCCACATAAAAAACTTGCCTTGCAAGTTAAGATATATTTTGTGTAAAGTCAACATGTTTTGGAGGTCCTATAGAATATTCTTATGTAGCTTATAAGTAGATAGTATATATAGAGATACGAGTGAAGCCTTCTTCACTTTTGTAAATTCTTTTCTTACTTCAAGTTTAGTTTCAAAAAGTCTA